TAAGAATTTTGGAATCATTTAAATACTAAAAAATAAAATATGTATATATATATATATATATATATATATATATATATATATATATATCTTTATATATATAATTCTTCTGTGAGTGTGTATGTCACTGAACTTCTCTCAAACGACTGGACCGATTTTGATGAAATTTTTTGTGTGTGTTCAAGGGGATCTGGGAATGGTTTAGATTCACAATTTGAATAATAATTTTCATCCAAAAAATTATTAAAAAAAGTTTGAAATTTTCAAATTAAAGACGTGTAGACAGGACAACGTCTGTCGGGTCCGCTAGTATATATATATATATATATATATATATATATATATATATATATATATTTATATGTATATATATATGTATATATATAATATAGGTGTATGTATGTATATACGTACACATATACATGTGCATGGAAGCCCCAATAGATTATGGGTGAATATTTTGCAGTTTCTATAGTGTATACATATAATAAAATTCTAACTGAGTCGAATCTGTACATTAAATAATAATAATAATAGACATTTTAAATAAAACTATCTTTTCGGATTTTGTCGCGGATTTATTTGCATTTTTGTTTCCCGACGTTTCGAATGCTTTACAGCATCCATGGTCACGGGAGAGACTGAGGTGTTCCATGTCTTGGAGGTATAGTTGTTACAGACAGCCTACCCACAATTAACAAAATGGAAATTGCACCAATTACATTACAATATTTTTTTAACTTTAAACATTTTTATAATTTTAATTATAATTGAATATGGAATATTATTTATTTAATTTTTGCTATTATTTTTATAATTATTACAATTTTAAAATATTAATTAGTAATCTATATTTAGTGTTGCCATTAATATATTTATAACCATAAAGAAATATATAAAATATAGTATTAATTATTTAAGCCATATAATTGTTCTATGTGTAATTTAAAAAGTTAAAGTTAATTGAGGATAATTATTTTAATTTACTTTGCTATTATTTAAAAACAACTTACTAAGCAACACTATTACTATATACTTTTACAAATGAAAAATGAAAAATATCAATCTGATAAGCTGTCATTTTGATCTACACAGTAAGAACTTAGGTACTACATCTACCTGTCTGTTATGTTTATATTTATTATTTGATTTTATTATATTAATAACAGGATCCCATGACGATGGTAGTACCCAGCCATCTTCCCTATTGAAATTTGGATGTTTTTTAATTTCTATGGCTAATATATCAAATATTCGCGTAAATCTAAGAAAGTATTAAATAATAGACATTATTATCGATACAGAGGCCAAGTGTATAGTTTTTAGAATTTTTGTGTCTATCTGTCTGTCTGTTACCGCATAACAGAGAAACTACCTACAATGATATTTACTTATTATTATATTTGCCAAATTTTATCTAGATTAACGTATTTTAGACTATTAGTAGGATTATAAATAATTATATTATATAGTACAATAATTTTAGCATTGCATCTCTTTGACTCTTTTCGGATTGTATCGCTCGTAGGCAGATAAACTAAATAAACAATAAACTTTGCCGCGCGCCTATGTCTATTCGTATTCTTTGATTGTGGATTGTTTGATGCTTTCTTGCGGGGCGCGAGGGTGCAGCGCGCTAAGACCCGCATAAACACTCAAGGCCATTGGGGACACTAATTTTAAAAGTAACAAAAGAAAAATATTAATTTAAAAATAACTTACTTAAACATGTTACATAAATGTAACTATAAATTGCGTAATAATACGATGCAGCAGCTCTGTATCCGTTCCGAATTTTCTCGAAGCGAAGCGGCGCCACTCCAAAAATACGGCAAACTTTTAGTACCAATGCAAAAGTGCTCCTTACTATACATCCTTTACTATTCATTGGGTAACGTTAATGTTAGGACAAAAATGTTTTTGTACTTTAAATATATTTATATATTATATTTATAATAATATTGGTGAAAAATCGTCTAATCGTTACGTATATTTTATGAAAGACAAAAACTGCTTTTAAAATGTTAACCGTTGACAAATCGATGGCATGTTAGATTATGATCCATCCAACTAATCATTATGCTTTGGGGATGACTAATTAGGCTTTTAGTTATATACATATTAGGTTGGTAAATAAATTATGAAAACATAAAATCACATTTTTTATGAATCCATCATTAGATAGATAGTAATCATTTAATAACTAGTTCCAGCTTTAGACTTTATTTGGAAATTTTTATATATTCTAACCCTTAGTTAGCACACGGAATTAGTCAGAAAACCCAATGATAATTAAGCATATTTTTATTTGAATTTTAAAACGAAATACGAAAAGACACTCTTTTTTGGGGATTTTACAGAACACAGCGCGGCGGCTAGATAGCATTTAAGAGGGGCGTTCAATAAAAGTGAAAAATCTGTACTAAACTGTCTGAGAAATCTATACTAAACGTTAAAACGTAAGTTTGAGATATTTTCCCGCAGTAAAAAGTATCCTATGTGTTGACCCGGATAACCAGCTATCATCATACCAAATGTCATCAAAATCCCTCCAGTAGTTTTCCCGTGATGCGGTTATAGACAGACAGACAGACAGACAGACAAAAATTTTCTAAAAACTATAGATTCGTACTCTGTATCGATAATGTCTATTTCAATAAGATTTTCCAAAAAATATTTAATGTACAGATTCGGCTTAGTTACAATTTTATTATATGTATAGATATCGCGTGTACATCCATCTTTTTTAAGTTATATATGATATAAACATGAACGAATTTCGTCCATGGATATAAAGTGCAATTCTTATTTTACTATAGCTTTTTGCTCGCGGCTACGCTCGCGTGAACTAAAAAAAGGCTGTTTTAATTTAATTGAATTTATATGTTGTCATATAGAATTTTTAATATTATGTATTCATTTATATAATCACTCTACATTCACTTAACTTAGTCTACACTAAAAAAACAACCACAAATATACGACATTGGTGGATGTTCTGTCTAGTTCTGGGTTCTTTTAACATGTCCCTGAGATGTCCTATATTAATGGTCATTGTAAAGCAAACTTTGTAAAGAAAACAAGTTAAGCGGGTTATTTCGAGTCACGCCACTCTGATATTCTCATGTATGAATCGCTTTCAACATGATTACCATTTGTCTTATGCTGAGAGAAAACATCGTGAGGGAATCTGCATGTCTGAGTGAACTTAGCAAGTTTTCAAAAGACATGCTCAGTCCACCAACAAGCACTTGGCCAGCGTGGTGAACTATGCCCTGATCCGCCTTGTATTGCAGGGCTGGATACATAATGCATATTGAAAAAGTTTCAACGATATCCTTTTATTGCACTACAGGGCAATATGAGTCCATTTGAACTCTCAATATACATAGATTCATTTTTGATGGAAGTTAGAATAACGACGGCTTCAGCTAAAAAGGAAGTTAATTTTTTGACTGAATGTTATGGTTTCTAAATTTGTTATGTATCATTCTAGTAACATTAACTGAAATATTAGTTTAGAGATGAGATCTGAGAAAAAAAAATGTCATTCTATTTGTAATGATCATATTATACAGGATATCATTTCCATCTTTTTATATTTATACATTTCTACAATTGTACAATAACGTCTTGTCTAGGCCCCTTATTTTCATTTGGAGAAAATCGTCATTTTTTATTCAAAAATATTCCTTTTCGTAAACAATACGTACTGTCTGATCCAAAGTTTTCAATTAAATTCCACCCTTATATTATACAAAATGACATACACACACGCACATACATGTAAACATATTATGTTTGATGTGCATATCATTAGCATGATCAATTTAATTTATTCGGACTTCTTTTCTTTTTTCTTTTTTCAATGTATGAGTACTCTGTTGTCCATTACATAAGATATCATAATAGAGTAATCTCATTTTGGCCATATTGGTTAATAACTTTGTGCTCAAACAGTATTTTATTATTTTTGTAACGCTGTAAGATTACCAATAAATAAATAAATAAATTTCAATAGAACTTTCCTATTATATACATAGGTGTTAGTTAAAAACATGCCTTTTCATTTCAATAGGTAGATTGCGTAATCTGTGTATATTGCACTGCAGATCAACACCATGTTAAGGTTATATTCAAATTTATTGTTTTTTACATAAATAAGTTATCGTTGCTCAATCGATGAAATATCACGTATAATTATTGATATATAGAATAAATTGATCGTATAAATATAGATTAGACAATGACTTTGATTTATTATCTTTTAGTGACAGTGAAGAATTATGTACATATATGTAGGCAATAAAAATCATAAAATATGAAGGGTGGCATTAAGCTTCTAATAAATAGTCCTACTTTATTTAAATATTATTAGAATATCTTATAGTCCGGCCGTATTTAAAAACTCCAATAGGATCCCATCAAAAACGACAAAAGCCACATAGAAACCAATACATATTTATTGATTTCTATGTGGCTTTTGTCGCTTTTGATGGGATTCTATTGGTGTTTTTCAACAGGGGGGATCCCTGATTCATTTTTTCATTTGATTAGTATCAAGCTAATTTTCCGTGAGTAGCTTCATTTTGATGACCGGAATAACGTACCACGCAATTTGTATAAAAATCGGTAAAAAAAATACATAAAATCGGTTCAGTACTTTTTGCGTGAAACGCGCGCATCGATTTGACTAAGTTTTATTATATGTATAGGACTAGTACTGCCCGCGGCTCCGCCCGCGTTCAGATGACCAAAAACCAAATTCTTAGGTTTTACAAATTAGTATACCTACTCTTACTCAGGTTTAATTAATTAAAACAATTAAGTATAATTTTCATTTATTTAAATATTAAATTACACACATTGGTTCAAGGCACAAGGGTTCTATAGCGAAAATTGGACAAATTTCATATTTAAAAAACACACGAATGAACGTTATTATTACAAACGCTTCATTTACGACTCCATATATTACAGAGTATGTTATCCTTATAACTTCAAGTACCCGACCGCTTGAATTGTATCATAAAAAGAAGATATGTAGTTACAGCGTTGAAAATCTGTAAAAAGTTAAAATAAGAACATTTACAAACTTAAAAATCAAAATTATTCAAGTAGAATTGTACAAGTATGTACTCCTAAATTAAAGTGACATTGTATAGTTAGATTGTGAGAAAATCACCAGCTCTTAAAGCGTAAGTTTGATTTTGTTTTGATACAAGCGTTAATTGCTTTGGATATATATATCCAAATATATATATATTGGTTATTTACAATTATTAATTACATTATACATTACCTTTATTATTAAAGGTCGATTTATAGTAAGTAGTCCCTTCGGTACAAAAGCTGGTTCATTCAGAATAAGCTGTTTGAACATCACATCTAACTCAGTAGGGACGCGTTTGCCAAAATTAGCGACTTTGGTGATCAATTTACTGGTAATTACGTTTATTTTAGCAACCTATACAAAAAATTAAATTATGAAAATCTCTGTTTCATCGCATTCTGTTTTTTTATATTCCTACCTACCTACAAAGCAAGCTCGACTGAAATCTACCCGACATTGTTCCTAAGAGCCATGCTCTAGTGTCAATCTGCTTTATGTGTATAGGATAAGAATTTTGAATTTTGCATTTGTTTGAGATTCCATCGTTTTTTAAACACATTTTTAGCTTTCTTTGAATAGTATGCTGTATTTATAATGCAGTACTATTTCAATAGACATTAATAGATGTTTATGACGACATATTTTTTTATTTCCCATTTTATAAAAACTACTAAGACTTACTTACTTAAACTAGACATATTTCTTAGAAATGTGATATTTTCCCGCAGTAAAATGTATCGTACATGTCGACACGTATAACCACCTATCATCATACCAAATTTCATCAAAATCCCTCCAGTGGTTTTTCCGTGATGCGGTAACAAACAGACAGACAAAAAATTCTAAAACAATAGATTTGGCCTCTGTATCGATAATAATGTCTATTTCAATAAGATATATAGATCGATAAGAATGTACAGATTCGGCTTAGTTACAATTTTATTATATGTACAGGTATAGATAATTTTCGAGCATCATCCTTAAGTCTTAATACGCACTCTATACTTGTTTATTTTTCAATATATTTTTTAAGATGATATTTATTTCTAAAAATAATCTTACCTGAGAGTTGATGATATGAAGCGTTTCAATAAAAACTAAAATCTTCAAGGCGTATAGCATGCACCAAGTTAATTGTATGAGCGTGAAATTAACTGAAATTATACAAACATTTTTGATAACATTCTGTTCTTATTTCTACTGAAAATATTAATATTTTAATTTCAAGTTGAAGCGAAGTGTAAGTTAAAGTTTCGAAATAATAATAAAAATAAGAAGCAATACACTGGTATAAGAATAAAAACCGTTTAAAAAAAGGGCTTTGTTTTGCCATTTTATGATCATGAAACGTGTTGCCCTAATAGTCAGTCCCCTGGACCAAAAAATATAAAATATTATGTTGTTTATATAAATATCTTATTCTGTGATAGCTTAAATTTTAGGTTTTCCGATGCACGTCGGACGTCGACCTACGAATAAGGGCGCGTACACATAGAATATCCGATTTTAAGGATCCTATTTAACTGATCCGTCGCTACTGGAGGTAATATTCACACAGCATTTACAGGACCGATTTTAACGGATCCGTCGCTACTAGAGGTAATATTCACACAGCAGTTTTACTTATTTCCGAATGACGACATCTACTTTTGATGACCTTCTTAAAAGATTAGAAAAGGATTTAAAAAGAAAGACACAAACTGGAGGAAAACCCCCGCACCCCTGTGCCAAGCCTCGCGCGGTTTCGATCCGATAAAACGGGTCAGTATTTCTGTTGTGTATAGGATTTTTTACTAGATCCGGAATACTGTCATGTGTGTGAACTGGCTCGTACAACTACATACGCTAATAACATATACGTTGAAACGGACCTGTAAAACGGACGTTCTATGTGTACGCGCCCTTAATAATATTATTTATTTGTAGGTCGGGACTACATAATTATCAAAATATCTAAATGTAGCTATGCATGTAAATTTTGGATAATAATTACCTGGTAACACCGAAAAAAGGAGATCCTCATAATATCCAGTAATGACAATACTTAAAAAGAAGTTTGCGAACATTATGACAGCAATACCGCCATCAGCATCATTCATTTTAGATATTACATCACTCACGGTGATATAAGCGAATGTAAGGTCACTGAAATTACTGTCTGCTAATAGATCTTCTAAAAACGAAAAATTGTTGTCTTGATAATTTGTTTAAACTATAGAGTGCAATCTCCTTTTAGATTTAGGTATTTGTAAAATTTTACAACTGAATTCCTAGACCTATAGTAGGGGAGCCCAAGAGGGGATTTTCTGTAGTTACTCGAGCGCGGCAGATTAACATAAAAGAGGTTACCTTGAACTCTATTGAGTACTTTCACCACAATATAAGTCTTCTATATAAAGGGGCGCGTCTAGGGAAGCCGATTAAAATATTTAAAAAATGTTTTGATAAGGTAGAAATACTTGAAACCGTCAGATTAAGGTGTGGTAGGCTAGTCACATCCTGAAAAGTGTCCAATTCAATAATCTGCCGATTTGCACAAGCCGAAGAGGCAAAAATCGACTATAAAGTTTATGATGATAGAAGACTTATATTATGGTGAAAGTACTCAATAGAGTGCAAGGTAACCTCTTTTATGTTAATCTGCCGCGCTCCAGTAACTACCGAAAATCCTCTCTTGGGCTCCCCTACTACTAGATTTTGTCAGCAAATAGTACTTACGAAATTCGGTAACTTATTACGTCAACATAGCGATCGCACTTATGAGTCATTGTCTGAAGTCTATTTTCTTTTTTAACGTCTGTAATTTAGATCAATTATAGTCGGAAATGTCACCGAATGCGCAACTATTTTATAACAGCCAAGAGTGATAAGCAAATGTACCAGCTTGTAGAGTTTTCATATTTATCTGTCCATATTGACGACACGTTTGTCAGTTTGGCTCAGTTTGTAATGACCCTACTTGTTATGCCGGCGGTCGCAGGTTTGAGTCCCGCTGGGGGGATTCAATTATGAAAATATGAGCATGAATATTTGTACTCCAGCATGTTTGGTTATGTTTATAATATGTATGTATCTAAAGTTATATGTATAGTGTGTCTACTATTTGGTATCCATAACACAAGCCTCTTAGCTTACCCTGGAATATTATAATATTATTACATACTCGTATATATAAAAATGAATCCTTATTTCCCTTCGTCACACCATAACTTGTTGATTTTACCGATTTCATTCATCTATTTTAAATTTTCTAGTACTTTGTAGAAGGTTCTTAGAGAAATAAAAATTAAGAAAATTGGAAAATTGGAAAATTGGAAAACATTTAGAAAACTTAACGACTATTTAAACTTCGCGCGTTTGACAGTTCAGGTGTTTGACAGTTCGCGCGGCGCAACGTTGTTTCAGCTGCATCGGTCGGCAACTATCGATAAAAAAAATCATTTATTCATTTCTGAGTGAACAGCAGTGTTGCCGAATTTTGATAAAGGCGTAGGTCAGAATATAAAATTACGTAGAATTAGTACAATTTGCGTATGAAAAGTACTTAGATCTACGTAGGTACTTTTTATAGTGATATACCTATGATACTTTAAGCTTGAACTCGACCATCCATCCTATGGCAACAAAATAAATTATTAGTTATGTATGTTCATATGTATACATCTATACCTACCCTACCACTACTCTATACCCTAAAAGTGTAACTGATCGCTGTCTATACATGGAAGATATTTGAGAAAAATAATTGTTGAGGCTCTTTATTAACGCAATCATGAATGAATTAGCCACTAATTCGTTCATGAATGCAATAAAACCCAAAACAATGATTTTTAGATTTTTTGTCTATTTATGCTATAAGCGTGCTAATCTCAAAAACGACTTAATCACCCAGGGACGAGCCCGAGCGGAGCGACGGTAAATCTTTTCAAATTCTTTCTGAAACGGGTTTGCGTATTTTAGTAGCCCAATTGCTAATGTGAAGTATTTCCAAGAATAAGAAATTAATAAATGTTACCGTTTCCGTTTAGAGAAACCAGTTGATACATTTTGTCATATATCAATTCTAAGTTTTCATGAGCTTCCAGTAATGAAAATACAATTTGCATTTGCATTATTATTATAATCAAGTATTCCGAGTAGAATATTCCATAAGCGATTACTATGAAAGCTACAAAAATAAATTTCTTTTAAGGGTTAGTTATATATAGCTAACATAAATATATGAAAACGTATATAGATATGTCATCTACGTTACGTAAGTCTACGTAAACGTTAATTTATATTATAAAATAATAATTGTAGTGTTTTGTAAGCGACTAACGACTTATCTTCGTTTCGCTCGGGTGCGACCCTAAGCTTGAATGGTTTAGTTCAAACGCAAAAAAGACAAACATCCAACGAAAAGTTCTCTTTTTTTATCACAATTGGATTAATGGTTTAGGAAGGCATAGTGGACAAATATACGAACATTGATGTTTATTTATATATAGAAGATATCGATTTTATTCTGAAGTAGGTACGTCTATTTCTTTAAAGGGGAATGTTGTATATATTATAAATATACTTACTTTCTGCCGGATAATTGGTCATGTTACAATAAATTTGTGTCAATATAAATATTAATATTGACATTAAATACGTTATTAGTATTGTGCATCTTTTAATATTTCTGCAATTAATCTTTTGATCGTCCTTTTGGCTAATTTTTACTCCGACCTGTAATATTGATAGCACAATTGGATATCTTCTGTTATCTGGCTATTTATATTAGAAAGTTTCAATAATAAATAATAATGTGTATCTAAAACAAGCAAGGCGCCTTCATTTCGTACTGATTTTAACTAATATTGTTTTATTAACGTCTAGCAAACTGTCCTTACTTTATACTTGCTGCAAGTCTTACTACGTGTATTTATTTACATTTAGGTATATGTATGTCTTTAAATATATAAACTATGTAGGTATGTTCTTTTGTCAACTTGTTCCCATTTTATATATAATTGGTTTTTTTTTATAATTTATTTTTACAGTTATTAGTTTAGTTATTATTAGTTAGGTTAGTTATTTACAGTTTTTAGTTCTACCCATTTGGATCTTATTTGACTTTTTCTTATTCTTTATATTACTTTAAAACATATAAGTAAGTTGTTTAATTTTTTTATCGCCTCTTAAAAACTTTTATTTTGACATTTCCCCACTCGATAAGCTTGAAAAAAATTTAAAAGACACTTTGGCGTCTGACATGCGCTATTTTGATTTTTACCCGACTGCGCGACGCAAAGGAGGGCAATGTGTGTATGTATGTGGGTTTATATCTTTGTGGACTATTTAAAACAAACGTGCGAGCCGATTTTGATAAATGACACGTCGTTTGATTCGTCATGACGACGCGAGTGTGATAGAAAACATAAAAATTTGAAAAAAAAAACAAAATGGCCGATATTGGACGCTATAATGTGAAAAAAAATGAAAATCGACGAACTATGTCAAATGGGGTATCGTTCAATAGGTTTATTATCATATTAAATTAAATATATTATAAGTATATTAAGTATAAAAATCAATTTTAGGTTTCTTTCAGCATTTTCCATTTTAAAAAACAGTTTAGGATATATAATGATTTAAAATTTGTTAACAACCATTCTCGCTAATTTTCCTACTTAAAAATACTTAAAAAGCTGTAAATTTATTTTAGTAATTACGAAGGAACAATGAGAACATATGTACATAGTACATACATAAGTATACAAAAGTCAAACACATAGCCCTCCTTCGAGTTTCGCCGCAGTCGAGCAAAAATGCACGGTTTTTTGTCTATGGTATTTTCGTAATAGTAATAAGTATGACCTGGTTGATAATATCTAGGTTAATAATCAAATTCCTCGTTCTCTGAGCTCCGTTATATATTCCCAGCCCAGTGGATAGCACCGCCGTAACAGTGTCTGGAGTAAAAAGGGCGAAGTTCGATAATGTCTTAGTTTTAACAGCTCTCTTTTTATAATCGATAATAAGGCCAACCATTAAACTTATATCTGGAAAAATGTTAGCAATAGTATTTAAATATGTACCTACCTAGTATTTACATTGTGTAAATAAATAAAATTAACTGCCTCGGTGGTCTAGTGGCTAGCATGTTCAGCCGCAGATCCGGAAGTCCTGGGTTCGAGTTCCGAGTGGGGCCAAGTTTAGTTATTGTGTATTTTTGTCTAGAAATTCTCAGTAACAACCTGGAGTTGGGAAGTTGGCGATGTTTTACTCCCGTGCCTCAGAGAGCACGTAATGCCATCGGTTCTGCACCGTAAATCTCATTGGACGTGTCGAGCAGTCGTCTCACCGAAATATGAGAGTGACAGGAATAGAGAGTGCACTTGTGTTTGCGCGTACACTTGTGCACCATAATAACAATAGTAATATTGTTGATCGAAGGTGAGTATGGATATTTGTTACTCTTTTACGCCAGAACGGCTGAACGGATCTGGATGAAATTTGGCACAGAGATAGATTATAGTCTGGAATAACACAAAGGCTATTCCAGACTATAATCTTCCAAGCTTTTATCTCAGAAAAATGTACGGTTTCCGTGGGATATGTTTTGTTTGTTTTCCTAGAGGCGAACCCGAGCTAAGCAAGGGTGAGCCGCTAGTTTAATATAATAAAACTGTAGCGGTCGAATTTCTGTACATAGAAAAGTAATGCTAAAAACCAAGGGGATTAAGAAGAGAAATAGAACAAACCCAGTTTTTTTCTATTTTTTTTTGTTTCTCTGTCTGTTTATCTGTTTGTACAGGCTAATCTCCGAAACTCTTGGACCGATTTAAATGAAATTTTGCATCGTGGTACCTTATATCCCCGGTCAACATTTAAGATACTTTTCATCCTGGAAAATTATACAGCTTAATACACAAAAAGTACGGATTGGACTTTAATGAAACTTTGCAATAATATAGTTCATACATCATAATAACAAATAGGCTACTTTTTCTTCCGGAAAAATGTACGGTTCCCGTGGGTAGATTTGTTTCTGCTTGTGTAGGGAGGAACCCGAGCGAAGCGAGGGTGTGCTGCTTGTTTTAAATAAAACTACTTTTTCGGATTATTTCGCGGATTTATTTTGATTTTTAGTTCCCAATTAAACATCAAAACCACAATCCAACCACCAATCAAAATCCAACCAAAAATCAGAATAAATCCGCGAAATTGTTCGAAAAGATAGTTTTATTTCAAATACTTTTAACATAACAAATTAATATAATTACTTTAATATACCTAACTACCTTTCATAAAAACTTACTCAAACATGTTATTAATATGTAACTATAAATAGTATAATAGTAGGAGACACTAATTTGATATCCGTCCCGAAGTCGTTTGAAGCGAAGCGGAGCGACCCCGGCGAAGCGTCCGATGCGAAGCACTAGTGACAAAGCGCCTCTTACGGTACATTCTTCACTCGTCATGGAGTAAATCTGAAAATTATTGATTATAACAAATTAGTGACGATGGCAGTGGTAAGGCACATACAAAACTTATAATCAAAACATATGTACTTACCTGTATATTAATATAGCGATCCACCTTCACTTAGCTCTATGGTTTGCTAACAATTGTACTACAATGTATGCTTACCTAAAAATTATTATTAATTTGATACGTCTGCCTATAATTAAAAAATATCTTTCCTCATCCTCAAAATACATTTGGGGCCAAAATAAAGCGAGGGCGGGCGCGTGTTCCTTTTTATTTATATTTAGTTTAATTATATTTACTTACCTTCAAACCGAATTATGATTGGTTTTGTTATGTTAGTTCAAAAAGTAGGTAATTACGTTCATTAGATACGTTGTGTAGTTGTGTGTATTCATTTAAGTTTACGTGTATATTGGTACAATAAAATTTAAATAGGCACTTTTCGGGTTACATTATTGTAACCGCTGAAAAGTAGAAGCCCTTAAATATAGATTATATTATTTACTATTTTGTGACCATTTTTATGAAAGTGGTATTGATAAGCCTACATTTTTCACTCACTTCACTTAAAACTAATTTGCAATGTTCGACTTGAACTTGACCACTTTTTATATAACCTTCTTTTATTTGATGGTCAACAACTGAGTACCATTATCTATTAAAAATAAATCGCAGTTTTGATTCCTGCAAAGTATAGGGTCTGCTTGTTGTTCATATGTTTACTTAACGTAAAAAATAAATGTTAATTTAACCGTTACATACATTTTTAAGACTAGCATTTAATCAAAAAAGCCGCAAGTAGACTGTAGACAGAATTTCTGTGTGAAAATGGGAGCCAAGTTCTACACACGGTGTTGCTTCGCCAATTCCTTTTAGTGATGTGCCGGATCGTTAAAAATGTAGATCCGCGGATACGGATCTGAATACGGATATTTGGTGTCAAGATCCGCAGATACGGATACGGATACGGATCTTAACTTTTTTATTTATTAATTACTTTGTCGTTGCGCGCGATCTTGAGTTGACAACTTGAGGTTGAGACACGTTTCGACTTGTATTGCGCGGCGGCTTGCATCTTTCTTTTGTTTTGTTTTAGTTTAATGTGACACTGGGCAGCATAGATAACGCTTGTGTTTGGTATTGGTGGTACATGATTTTAAAAAAATGTCTACAAAGAAGTTTAGTAGTGTAATTTGGAATTATTTTGTGATAATAAATGATGAATGTGCAAAGTGTAAAATTTGTGATGGAAAGTATTCTCGTAAGGGTAAAGGCACAACTTCCTTAAAAAATCATTTACAAAGAAAACATCCTCAAGAATATAAATTATTCTTTAAAGAAGACTCTGCTAAGAAGAGTATCGACGAAATATCACGGCCGGGAACATCTTCACAAACGGTAAAAAGAGAATTTAAACAAACTTTTTTTAAAGAATACATGGAAAAAGCTAAAATGTGGGATAATACAAACCACAAATCTATAAAAATAGACTATTTGATTGCTGAAATGTTAGCTTTATCAGATCTACCTTTTCAACACGTAGAAGAATTAGGGTTCCGCCGATTGATGGACCATATTGTTCCAAATTATGTTTTAAAAGGTAGAAAGTATTTTACGGACCTTGTTTGTAGTGAGCTGTACGATAAAGTGTCATTAAAAATAAAAGACATGTTACAAGATTTTGAAAAAGTTTCCTTCACGTCAGATATCTGGTCTGACTCTTCATCAGGAGTTTCATTGTTATCCTTAACATGTCATGGTATTACTAAAGATTTTCAACGAAAACATATCGTTTTGAAAGCGGAAGTTCTTGAAGAACGTCACACGGGAGATTATATTTCGGAAATATTTCAAAGTATGTTAGAAGAATGGGGAATTTTGAAACAAAATGTGCACTGTATGGTAAGAGATGGGGGATCCAATATGAAGCGCGCCTGTTATTTATCTGAAGTACATAGTATCGACTGTACAGCACATCAGTTACATTTGGTGGTTAAAAATGCAATACAAAAAGTTAATGAAATTTCCATATTACTTACAAAATGTAGGAAAATTGCTGGACATTTCAATCATTCCACGATGGCAAAGCAAGAATTAGAAAAAATACAAGTTCGACTCAATCAAAAAGTTCTAAAAGTTTTACAAGACTCACCAACACGCTGGAATTCCAGCTATTATATGTTGGAAAGACTTGATTGCATCAAGGAGTCGTTGTCGCTTTATTCTTCTAATAATAAAATAGAACAATTTGATGCCGATGACTGAATTTTAATTCAAGAATTAATAAAAGTGCTGAAGCCTTTGGAAGACACTACAAAAAAATTAAGCTCACAAAACACGTGTATATCTGACGTTATTCCTCTAGTACGAGCATTGAATAAAATCTATGACGAGAAAAATATGCATATTAGTGACATTAGTGTATCCGCAGTTGTGACCTTTGTGTCTGCTTTGAAGAATGAATTAGAGTATCGTTTTTTCTGAAATTGATAAAAATGTTTTGTATCAAGTAGCCACATTTTTAGACCCACACTACAAAGGGAAATTCTTCAGTGAGATTCTCATAAAAGAAATAAAAGAAAAATTGCTTAGAGTTTTAGAAACTGAAGTAAATCTTACAGCAAACTACAATCAGTACTGAAAACAAACCAATTACTGTTTAGAAAAGAACATTGCACGAGCCTAGAAGAGTCTATTGCTAATATGTTAGATAGTGATGATGACGATGAGCAATCTGAAAATCAAATATCAGATACGAAAGCTAATTTGCTCATCGAATATATGTCAGAAAAAAGATTACCAAGAGATCAAGACCAACTAAAGTATTGGCAAATTAACAGTAAAAAGTTTGGAAGTCTTAGTCACATTGCTCGTACATATTTATCATCACCTGCAACAAGTATTCCAAGTGAGCAAGTTTTCAGTGCAGCAGGAATTGTTTATGATCCTCATCGTAACAGGCTTTTGGGGGACAAAGCTGCCAAGTTACTCTTTTTGAAATATAATATACCATTACTTAATTTTAATTATGACTTATAATTTTCTTAAGTTCCTTTAATTGTCATTGTGATTTTAATTTAACATTAACACTGTACCTATGTGTCACGTAGTACTAGTTTACTTGATTAAAAAATAATTTAATTTGAATTTAAAATATTACGAAGAGCTAAGTTTTGTTTTCTTAATAAAAACTGACCTTATAACTTTTTATAATATTGATCTCATTAAAAAGCTAGTTGATTTAGCACCTTGGAGTTATATACTATTAGATGATAACTAGCTACGGCAAAGTTTGCAACATAAAGGAGCCAAATATTTGATTTTAAAAAATAAAAAAATATCTGTACTAAATTTAATAGTTTTTTATTTCTACCTAATGACCTATTTAAGGCGAAGAGTAAGGCGCACTAGCGACGCCAATTGCTTAAAATTGCTAAGTAGCTACTAAACCGGATCTATTTTAAATAATTATGGATCGTCAGAATCTCGGCAATTGACGTCGCTAGTGCGCTTTACCCTTCGCTGTTAAGAATTTTATATATAAATTTAAAATTAATGAGGTAAATAGATCCGTAAAAGATCCGCCAAAAAGTAACGGATACGGACACGGATACGGATCTTTCTTCTGCTTCGGATATCCGCGGATACGGATACGGATACGGATATCCGGCACATCACTAATTCCTTTGGCCTGAATTTGGCTGGACACACTACCGCGTGTCTTGATAGTGCCTACTTCATAATAAATAAAATAGGTATATTTTTGTTATATATCTACATAATACTTTCTCAAAATTTACACGAATATTTAATTAACATTTCAAATAAAACTAACTTTTAGGATTATTCGAAACGTCGCGTCGCTTCAAAAATCAAAAGAAACCCGTGAAAAAATCCGAAAAGATAGTTGCATTTTAAACCTACTTCTATAATTTACTTACTTAATATAATATTACAGGAAATCTAATCTATCTTGCTATACTTGGAATTTGTAATATTATAATATGCAGAAATCTAAACAATGATAACGCAATAGCATGTTTCACGATTATTATTTAGTAGCCAGTAAGTATACAAATATTTGTATAATATTTTATACAAAGTAACTAAGAATAATTTTGTAATGACTAGCGACTTACCCTGAAAACTAGAAGCCCTTAAATATACTTTTTTATTTATTTTTATTTTTTTATTTCATCATTTATTTTAGGCAATATTTTCATAAGGATCTTAAATATGTAAACAGAGGCCCATAGCATACATACTTTAAAACTAACATATGTATATATTAATTATAATAACTTAAAAACTATGGTGCAGACGTGTAAGCTGTGTCGGCGGGCAAACGACCTCGGAACTTCCGAAACACGACGATATACGATATAGACTATAGGGTGGATCCCTAGGTACGTTTTATATATGTAGATAAAAATAGTTATTGTGTGTGTATCTTAGGAGATATCAGATATGCTACCATTGACTTTTCAGTAGGCCTTATTAAAACGTATAATCCGTACGTTAAGATTTAGCCAGCGTTATACATGTAAGTATTAATCTATTAAAATAATTTTTAGAAAAAAATTGACAACGTTATAACAAAATTTATAGTGATTAAAATTTATCACTACATCACTACATAGTATAAAACAAAGTCGCTTTCTCTGTCCCTATATCCCTATGTATGCTTAAATCTTTAAAACTACGCAACGGATTTTGATGCACTTTTTTTTAATAGATAGTGATTCAAGAGAAAGGTTTTAGTATATAATTTGTTAAGTTTTTGTAAACATTGGCTAAAATATAACGATATTTGTTTAAGGTGTCAGAAAAAAAAGTCGTCTGGCAGCTTTCAACGAAAACGCTGCCTGAACCCTTTGAGATATAACAAAATAATGTATGGTGGAATTGTGTATCTTATATAGGTCTACAGAAAAGTCCGCGATGGCATATGTCTATCTCATAAGGATAACATACTATATCCATTTTAATTTAAAACGTACCTAGGGACGAACCCGATCGAAGCGAGGGTGAGTCGCTAGTTTTAAAATAGGTATATCCGAAAATAACATTAAACTTTAAGTAATACATAGTATAAAAAAAATGTTTTAAAAGACAATAAAATCGAAAATGCATTATATTACAAGACTTCCGCGATAAACAATAGCATTCCCAAGGAGGGTTGACGTCAGGCAGGCGGCCGGTCGTAAAACTTTTGCCAAATCCTTTCAGCAGTGTAGAAGATGTACAGCGCCGATACCAAGTGATTTTGAAATGGGCAGGGAGAAGAAGACATGTGTTAATCTAGGGACGACTCGATAGAACCAGTTATTATGTTTTCCCATTAGAACGAAAGAATTTCCTATGGTAAAAAATATCCTTAAAGTTGACCTGAATAATAACTTATTACTAGACAAAATTAAGTAAAAATCGGGTCAGTACTTTTTGCGTAAACAGACAAAAAAACTATTGTTACGGGGTCTATATGTATTCTGTAAAACTTATTATTTTAACAGTATATTCTGTAAACCTTATTATTTTAAGTATTTATTGTAATAGTATCTGGGCGAACGGACTGGAAGTTTTTGGCCAAAAGTACAATTCTCTTTTTAATTTGGCTTAAAAACAAAAAAAAAACTAAAAACTTAAAGAAATACGAAAAAAAACAATTAAAGACTTTCTTTCAAAGATTCGAACCCGGACACCTGTGATAGTCAATCTTATGCTTTGACCGCGTGGTCACGATGCTTATGCCTTAAAGTGCGAAATTATCGACCGTATTTTACGTGGAATAATGGGAAAGAAAATACATGAAAACTCTAGAACATGCGTTTTCCTAGACTTAAAGACTAATCTACATCGATTTGTCACCCCAGAAAACCCCTACATTAAAAATTTCAGCGATATCATTAGAGCCATTTCGAGATCGCCCACGCCGGTAGGATACATAAATACGAAAACGCTACATTTACACGTTTGGCAAGTCTCATAAATATAGTACAATACTATATATTATAGTACGGTTGGCAACCCTAATAGGGATGCACCCAAGGCAAGGGTAATTCATATATCATATTGTAATACATGTTTTACACCATCATGGTTGATTGAAACATTAACAATAAAACATATATTTAGCAGGATAATAATGGGGCGTAATTTACATCTTTTACACATGTCATGTATTGAAATACAGAATATTTTAATGTTATTTTATGTTAATTGATAATATTAATGTTACAAATTAAAAGTCAAGTTTTTTGGATATAAATACTTTATTTAACACAGAGGTATCTATATGTACAGTTTTGTTTGCCATACATTTTATTATATTCAAGACCTTTAGGCAGAGCATGTCAATAAAGCAACTCGGCAGCTAGTTTTATTAAGGCTTAAAAAATAGCATATTATAGTGTATATTAGTGTATATTATTATAAATTTGAAGAATTTTCAGAATCATATCAGTAGTTTTAGAGATTGTATACAAACTTACAAACTTTACTTCTTTTTAATATTAGTGTAGATATAGTTAGAATTATAAGTCAAGATGTAAATAACTTTTTAGTTTTTTTGTTGCTCGTTCTGCTGGTCTTACACACAGATGCTTACCAAAAATACATAATCTAATGTCTTTTATATACAATTCAAAAACACAGTCTTTTTTTGGTAAAGTAGTGACTATGTCATCCATTGATACAATTTTAAATGTATTTTTTGTATCCATGATACAAATTCCCTTTTTCCCAACATAACTAGGGCATTTTGATCTAACTACTTGTAATAAACATCCATGAAAATCAGCTTTATATAATGATTGTGAGAACTGATCCCAATTTTTACTTGAATAGTCTGGTATGGGCTTATCTAATTCCAGCAATTGAATAATATAGTCAGACCAAATGTTATTTATCGCTAATATATCATTATATCGTACACTTTTTCGTGGTATGGCAAAAAAACCGAGAGCCTTCTTTTCTTTTCTGGTCAATACTTTAGATTTCTTTTTAACATGTTTCTTTGCTTTTTGTTCTTTGCTTCTCTTTTTAGCGAGTAAAAAATCCTTTTTTAATTCAGTTTCTATATTGGGAATATCAGACCTAGGGACATTAGCTTTCAAGAAGTTCACAATGGACTGTGAAGCTTCATCCCTAATTTCTAAGGATGCCATTGTTTTATTTTGTAAAAATTATATGTTATAAATGACAGTGACATGTAAGTAGAATGTTTGTTTGCGTAATACTACACAGTATACAAAATTAATGGCTTAAACACTAACCTATAAACATATGTTATTTGGTAAACCATGAGGCTGAGCCGCAAGTTACAACAATTCAAAAACAAATCAATGTCATTTGTCAGTTGTCAGACGGCAGTCATAGACCACAGTCATACATATTTCATAGACGTTTCTTATATATTACTTTTTTAGGTCTAGATTCTTCATTCTAGACCCCGCAAGTATTATTTAATTATTACTTATTAATTATTATTAAAGAATTCTTTCTCGTTTGCTTAGATAACTTAACAAATATTATTGTATTTTATTTTACTTTTTTCTATTTGTATAATTACAGACAGTAAGTTCCAATTTTTACAAACTTAACTGATAAGTTTGTCTGACATAATGAAAATTGAATACCTACGTTACGAAAATTGAAGGAATTAGAAACACGAATGAATGATGATAAATCATTGATTGCAGCAAGCAATAAGCAGAGCAATAACAACTAACAAGCATGGAGGACTCGTATTAAACTGAACCAATAAACTTATAATTTTCACTGCTTTATTTATTTATTTATTGGTAATCTTACAGCGTTATAAAATTGTTGATATACAGTTAGAGCACAAAGTTATTAATAAATATGGCCAAGATTAGATTACTCTATTAGGTATAATAGTGTATGTATTAGACAACAGAGTACAGAGTAATAAAGGAAAAAAATCTGAATAAATTAAATTGATCATACTACTGATATGCACATCAAACATAATGTGTTTACATGTATGTGCGGGTGTGTACGTATGTATGTGTGTGTGTGTGTGTGTGTGTGTGTGTGTGTGTGTGTATGTGCATGAGTTTGTGTGTGTGTGTGTATATTTGTGTGTGTTTCTGTGTTATGTGTAACTGTACGGATCTATGGTAGTTACGGATATATTTACAGTTATGTACACCTATTTATATAGATTATGGGTATATGAAGACATTAAGCATTTTCATATTTTTTTAAGAGCGTGTTTAGAGAGATTAAATATGTCTAAGTCGCTGTAATATTTGTTATAGGTTCGAGTCAGACGCGGTATGATGCCGTTTTTAGCATAGTGTTTTTTTTGGTGGTTCGTATAATAGGGCGGTATGTCGCGTTCTTAATTTTGGGACAAGTAGTGATATATTTGACAGCAAGTCAGGATAATCAATTCTGCCAGTTAAAATTGCTTGTAACAAAGTAATGTCACTTTGTGTGCGAATATGTTCAAGTATTTCAATGCCGTAGTGTTTGTATGCACTTTGGTATGTATCAAAGTATTTAAAATCCTTGAATTGTAAATATTTTATGAGCTTAGTTTGTATATTTTCAAGTCTTTTGATATGTATTTGGTAATAAGGTGACCAGATGTTACTGCCATATTCTAAAATGCTTCGTACATACGTAAAGTAAAGAAGTTTAATACACTCTGTATTCGTGAAATTTTGTGTAGCTCGTTTAATGAATCCAAGCTGTTTGTATGCCCTGTTTTTTATTATGTCGTAATGTTCTGAAAAGGATAGTTCCTGATCAAGTGTAATACCTAAATCTTTTACAGAGGTAGCTTTTTCGATGGATATTCCGTTAATATTATAGTTGTAATAGATGGGTCTCTCTTTTCGACTGAAAGTTATGTGATGACACTTACTAACATTTACCTTGATCCTATTTATTTCATAGTAATGGGCTAGTGTGTTTAAGTCTTCTTGTATTTTTATGCAATCTTCAATAGTTTTGACCTTAAGAAAGATTTTTTTGTCATCAGCAAACATTAAGAATTGTGAATGCCTAAAGCATTTGTCTATATCATAAAGATATGCATTATATAGAAGAGGTCCCAGTACAGAACCTTGTGGTACACCAGAAGGTACACACGTGAAGTTGCTTCTAGCATCGCCTATAATTACTGCTTGCATTCTATTTTTAATATATGATGTAAACCATCTAAAAAGATTTCCCTGTATTCCTAACTGATGTAACTTTTGTAGTAAAATTATGTGGTCTACGCGATCAAAGGCTTTCTCAAAATCAGTGTAAATCACATCGACTTGGTCGCGTCCGTCCATAGTGTCAAAGATGTAGTTTGTAAAGACTCCTAAATTTGTTACTGTGGAGCGTCTGTGCATGAATCCGTGTTGTTCTCCAGGGATAGATTTCGTTATAGTAGGGCCAATTAGATCATAAATGATTTTTTCAAATACTTTACTCATAGCATTTAAGATTGAGATCGGTCGATAATTTGTTATCAGATTTGTAGATCCATTTTTATGAATAGGCACTATTAAGGCTTCTTTCCATTTAGAAGGAAAGCATCCGAAATTATTTATTGATAAGTTAAAAATAATTGTAAGAGGCTTAGCAAGATTCATTGCACAGTTTTTTTAAAATATTGGTGGAATATTATCACTTCCTGGGCCCTTGTGTATGTTAAGTTTTTTTAGATGGTTAATAACAGTATTTTCTTTTATAGCAAATGCAGAAATTGTATCATTAATAACGTTAGTGTTCAGTTCAAGATCTTCATACGATGTGGCGGGTTTTGTAAAAATACAGTGGAAGTATTGACTAAATCCAATACAAGCCTCAGTGTCCTCGTTATAAGTTTTGTAATTATATGTAAGTGTATTAGGATAGCCATATTTAATGTTTCTCAATGTTTTCATGTATGTAAAGATCATTTTAGGATCTTTTTTAATAAATTCTTGCATACGTTGGTTATAAGAATTAAAGCACTTTATTTGGTTGACTTTTTGCCGAGATCGAAGTAAAGCGAATTTGTCGTAGTCTCGCGGATTGTTATAGATCTTCCATCGTTTGTGAACTTCTTTTTTGTCTCTTATAATGTGTATTAAAGATTTTGAATACCACCGTGGGTAGTGTGAAAGGCTTGTTTTTTTAAGGGGAACAAATTTTGAAATTATATTATTGAGAGTATCGTAAAATACATCTATAACTCCGTCAATTGTTTTTGCCTGAATAATTTCTTTCCAATTTATTTTTGATAAATATTCATTAATTTTTACGTAGTCTGCTTTAAAGAAATTATGTTTATTTGCTGGTTTGTGACGAAAGTTTCGTAATTGCAAACTCGATAGATTTAATTCTAGACAAGGATGGAGTGGATCTTCTTTTACTAGGGAATTCTGAGAGTGAATTATATCAATTTGAAAATTACTTAGGATTAGATCAAGAAATTTATTTTTTGAGTTTAATATTTGGTTATTTTGAGTAATTCCATTCAGATTGCACATATCTATGAATTCTATCGTAGCATGAAGTAAGCTAACTGAGCCACAACTGGCTTGTATAGGCCCATTATCGGTCCATCTTGTATTTGTGAGATTAAAATCGCCTGCGATAACAAAATTATCGTTTGGAAAAGCTGTTATTATTCTGGCAATATTAGAAGTTATAGCTTCGATTCGACAGGACAACATGTTATCTGGGGGAGCATAAAATAATCCAATATTAAAATCTTTATTATTGCGACTGTAGATTTTACTGGAAGGGATAGTTACCCATAGTGATTCAACAGTAGGGCATGTCCATTCAGATCGATGTTGTACTTGTAAAATCTTTAATGCGCATAATAAGACCGCTCCACCAATGCTCTTGGAAGATGTTCCCTTGTTACGATCATATCTGAAAATATCGTATCGATCGTCGCATATCTCGCCATTGTAGAAGTCATCAGAAAGCCATGATTCAGTAACTAAAACTAAGTCGAAATCATTGCTTAATATATTTTGCTTAAATTCTTCACATTTCGTCCTTAAGCCTCGTGTGTTTTGATAGAGCAATTCAATTGGTTTTGTCATCATACAATAGTGAATATGTAAGTAATACAATTTTGACAAAATCTGTAATATATAAGTGTTAGAGCAATTTTATAAACCTTGTCTTTGAGAGTTAAAAGGGGAGGTGTACATGAGAACTGTATAACTAACACGTAGTTTGTGTGTAATGAGTTAGGTTGTAAGGTGTGTGGTGTGTGAGTTGAGGTGATTAGGTATGTATAGTAAACGAAAACTACCAATCAGTTATTTTTTACTTTTTAGTGATTTTGTTCGAAGTCGGTTTTTATTTTTTGTTAAAAAGTTTTTATATTTAAATGCTTTAAAAAAACAAAGAAATATAACTTCTTGCGTGCGTAAATAAGTATACACACCTTTTTTTCCAATAAATGTTTCTTGTGTTTTTTTATTAAATTGACACAACTCTTTTATTAATGAACCGACTGAAATAAAACAAATACTAAATGTTAAGTAAAGCTTACCATAAAATACATTCGTGAAAACCGCATACAAATCGGTTAAACCGTTTCTGAGATTAGCACGCACAAACGCACAGACAAACAGACAAAAATTCAAAAAATCATTGTTTTGGGTTCTATCGAGTTAATAAGAACCCCCAATAATAGTTTTTCTTAAACATCTCCCATGTACAGACAGCGATCAGTTACAATTTATTATATGTATAGATATGGGCATTGATTATTTTTCGTTACCTACTTTTGGCCCTTTCAAAACAATAATATGTCAAATACGAGCTCACAGGCCAGTACACAAACGCTAGACTATATTCGATAATTTTTGTAAGTCGTTGGCGCGGCAGCAAGTGGCTGACGAGCGTGGAGCTCACAGGTCGTTTGCTGCTCTAGCGTGTTGTATGAATACAAGTTGACCGAGCGCGCAGCGCAATTTTTTTATAAGTTAACTCATAATATATTGTAAAGTAATTCGTGACACTCGTAACCTGACTCAAACATAGCTTTATCGACAACAGTAGGTACGTAGACATACACGATCCAGGGGGGGAGGGCAGCTGCCCCCCTCCCTGCCCCTACCTGGGTACGCCCATGCCACCTTTGCAATTTGATGAGTCGTGAAAAAATAAAAAAAAATAAATGTGGCACTCGGAGACTGCCACGGTAAAGCTATTGCATAGCATTTTTTATCAACTTATGCAATTATAATTATTTATTTATTTTATTAATGCAGTATTTTTTTTCCTTGACTTTCTTAATTAATAAATGCACTTTGTTTATTCATATTTAAAACACTTTGTACAGAACGAAATACAACGAACGAAATACGAGTACAGATATTCACTGTTGTATGTATAGATGATAAATACCTATACACCTATATACTTTCTCACAAACAGCTGATTACCTACCCTACCCCAGCCTGCAAATTTATGATATTCGCAATGAAAAAAATACTAATCGATAGATTTTTAATAGCTCAATTCAACTACGTAGCCCTTCCAAATTGCTCACCATTAATTATAAAACTAAAAATCAATAAAGTCCTTGAAAAAAAAATCATTTATCCGTATATTCAAATTTCTATATCTTTTGATATATACAATATTTTAAATTGCTCAAAGTTCTAAAATACTGCTCAAGTTGCATTTGTAATTGCTCAAGTAGAGTTCTCACCAGCTCCACTTTCCTTAATTATTAAATAAATATAAATAGTTTGAATAAATTTTACGTATAGATAGGTGAGTGCTGCGCATGCGCGCAAACAGTAACGCGAGTCGCAAGGCAAAAAAATTAAGTGTTTCATAACCTCATCATAGTGAAATGAAACTGTAATACTCCAAGCACAACATCATCTATTATCAGGTATTTTTATTATTTATTGACTTATTCATTATGTTCAATTTATACAAAAATCAAATCATGACTAAAAGGTAACTTTATTTTGTATTTTGTATTTTGTAACTTTATGTCTGTTTACAAAGTATTTTCTATATATTCTTCTTAGCTCCAAAACAATTGTCCAAAGAGTATAGATATATACTGGGAATTGTCCAAGCCCGCCGAGGCCGACCGACAATGCGCGGTGCGCATGCGCACGCTCACTTAACCTACGTTACATTTATTACAACTATACTTTTAATTATTTAATAATCAGCGAAAGTGGAGCTGGTAAAAACTCTACTTGAGCAATTACAAATGCAACTTGAGCAGTGTTTTAGAACTTTGAGCAATTTGAAATATTGTATACATCAAAAGATATAGGAGTTTGAATATGCAGATAAATTAATTTTTTTTCAAAGACTTTATTGATTTTTAATTAAGTAATTAAAGGTGAGCAATTTGAAAGGGCTACGTAGTTAAATTGAGCTATTGAAAATCTATCGATTAGTATTTTTTTCATTGCAAATATCATAAATTTGCAGGCTGGCGTAGGGTAGGTCAGCTGATTACGGTAGTTTTCCAATACAACCAATGCCACCTAAAGGCGGGTTGCTGAACTAAAGAGACAAGCGTGATATTTCAAAAAGTCATTAAAATTTCTGGTATTTATCGATAGATGGAAAAACTAAAAAGTATCACCGCTGTGTCGGTCGGAGTGGGCGGTGTCAGGTTTTTTTCGTTACGGAATTTCTGGATTTGGTCCCCACGCTCAAGGCCCGCGATAGAAGCTATGCAATAGCTTAAAATTAAAGTCACAAAACACAAACAAGTAAAGTATACCTTTTCCTTTGTATTTTTTTCCGTAGAAGCTATTTGTTATAATTTTTTTGAATTTATCGATATTTTGTCAATTTTTGATCGATTATGGTGTTACATTTAAATTTTAAATCTTTAACGAAAAAAAAGTATGGCATAAATGAAAATATATACTGATAAATATGTTAAATAATTGATTTAGGTGGTGCTTTAGCTTCAAATAATATATATTAACTTGTAATTGTATCAACTTGTTTTTTTTGTGTTATATTTTTGAATAATGAATAAATAAGATTAGACTATGAATAAGTTTCATTTATTTCTGTTATTTATTTATTTAGAAAAAAGTACAGTGTGTTACTGTACTTTTTTAAAAAAAGTACAGTAACACACATATATTAAAACATTTCTATACATTTAGAAGACAATATATATAATCAAATATGTCTTTACAAGTGTACATAACATTCGCTATAATTACATAATCAAAACTATACATTAAATTATAATAAATCCTTAATATACAATTAATAAATACAATTCAAATACAATGAAAATGATCCATAATAAGTCAACATCTGTTAGCCAAAATAATTTAAATAATGTTATTACCTTAAAGTCTAATTAATTTAAAATAATTAATTTTAACCTAAGGTGAAATATTGTTTCGTGTGATAGTTTGTCATAGTTACTATAAATATTACAAAGAAACGGTATTTCCGATTTATTAACCGGTAAATTTTGGCACATCACAATAATAGTCAATAATATATAAGTATAGCTGTATTATAGGAATTCTATAGCTTATTTATATATATATTATATTATATATAGCAATATACTCTATGATAGCTTATGGCCGGTTTACACGTGTTAGGTTGTTTAGTAGTTAACTAAATTTTAACTTAATTTTAAGTGATTACTTGCGTGTAACTCGGCTATTTGTCATCCATGTATTCGGCTTCATGTCATTGCGATTTTAAGGGCAAATTTTGTTATTTCTGTCTCTGTCCCTCTCCTTGAGAAGTTCATAAGAAGGACACGATCGCATATGTTTATATTGTTAATGTTCAATTAAATACAGCTGCTCCTTGCTGTTGCTACTTCATACTTGCTTGTTTAATAATTAATTGTTATTGCTCGAAGATTGCAGCTGATGAATTGAATGAACTATGAAGAATAAAATCAATTTTTTTGTGTTTTGTGGACCCCTGACTTGCGTCTTGCTTGCAGTGCACACTACCCTCGTGTACCTACTACCTACTGATTTGATGAATATAATTTTTTAGATACAATAATTTTTTATAAACTTTAAGTATTAACAAATAACTTTTTTTATAATAAAACAACTACTTTTTAACTTTTGAACTTCGGAGTAAAAATGTTTGCAAAAGTTCCTAAAGTTACTTTGAATAATGGATTTCAAATGCCTTTTATCGGATTAGGCACTTACGCGGTAAGTTTTCATTTATGCAATAAGTTTTAATAAAATAATTAATATTGCTGTGTAAAAAATAAAATTAAAATATTTAATGGGCTGCAGTTTAGTATATGGGACGCGGCCCCTGGAGGAGTGGGTGGTATTTTTGGATAGGGGAGGTGATAGAGAGTCCAAATATATAAAAAATATTTTGAGGAAACAAAAGAGTCAAAAGTTATTGAGACTTAAAATTACAACATTTCCATACATTATTTAGACATTACTGCCATTTAGACACTTGGAAATATCACAAATGTCACTTTCAACTGTCAAAATGATCTCCAGATGATGAGTCCGATCTATCACCGAATTTTAAATGAACATAAAGCCCTTATAATAGCAAGGGTTCTGGGTTTGAAATAAAAATAGGAAATGCATAGTTTTATTATGACTTTTTAAAAATCTTATTTTCATATTATGTTTTGTCGTGTTTTTAATTATACTTTACGTGAAATTCGAATTTTCTAGTTTTCTAGTGATATAACAACCCCTTAATGGCACTCGATGGCCGCTACCGCGGCACGCTCGCTTCGCTCGCTCGGCTCGTGCGTTGTGGTAACTGTTCTAACATAACCTAACCAAGATATGAAGATTAATAAATAAAAAACCTATGTCTTAAACTAACTACGATGTCGCAAAATAAAAACCAAAAGTAAATAATACACTTAGATTTTAAAAATAGTCTACGCACGTTTATAAATTGTATTAATATAATCTGTTGTCATTTAGGCGGTAATGTAAAACAGAAATTGACAGTTGTCAAAATGTAAGATCATTTTGTTTACAATAGGTACTGTTGTGAAATTATTAAAAAATTAAATACAATAAAGCCTTAATTGTGGTGGAAATATGTATTGTACATAAGAAAGGATGTTTACTATTCGTTTAAGGTATGTTTATCTTTTGTAATCACATAGTTAGGTAAAGAAATGTATGGAAATGTATTAGATATGTTGTAACTTTAACTCTCAATAACTTTTTACTCTAACGTTTCCTAAAAATATTTTTTATATATTTTCCACTCTCTGTCACCTCCCTTATCCAAAAATACCACCCACTCCGCCAGTTGGTAACGAAATGTATGAAAATGTATGGAAATGTTGTAACTTTAAGTCTCAATAGTACACAAGTGATCATTGAATTGATACAATGTGTAAAAAGAAGTAAATAAATAAATAAATAAATAAAATAAATAAACAATAACTTTTTACTCCTACGTTTCCTTAAAATATTTTTTTATATATTTGGGCTCCCTGTCACCTACTCTATCCAAAAATACCACCAATTCTGCCAGGGGCCGCGTCCCATATACTAAACTTGTGCCCTTCAATAATATCCTTATTATGATTTTAAATTGACTAATGTATACAACAATAATTACACAATATTATATTTTTTAGAGAAAAGCTGAACCTTTGGAATTTCAACGAGCAGTGGAATGGGGCATAGACGTTGGTTACAGACATATAGATACTGCAACAATGTATAAAAATGAAAAAGAAGTTGGATCGGTGATTTCCAATAAAATTAAAGAAGGATTAGTTAAAAGGGAGGATTTGTTTATTACTACAAAGGTAAATTTTAAACATAATTGTTTATATGTAATTTAAAGAGTATCGATTTAATTACTGGCTCTAGTAATTTTACTTAAGATGAAAAAAATTACCATCTGCCATCAGCACAGAAGATATTATTGTGTAATAACATTTAAATAAATAATTACATATATTAAATAGAGCTTATATCTTATAATTTATGAATAAAGTAGCATATATTTTTTTATTATTGTTTTAGATTTTAAATGATAAACATGCTGAAAAAGATGTCGTACCGGCATTGAAGCAATCACTAGAAGATATGAAGTTGGACTATGTTGACTTATATTTAGTTCATTGGCCAGTGTCTGTTAATGTATGTATTTTTCAGTTTATAATTTATGACAACATGATTATTGAAGTTATACTTCTTTTGGAATGTTTGGAAAAAATTATGAGAGTAGAATTTTTGTCGCCCGTGCATACCGACAGCCAAAAAGCGACATGATGGAGTTAGCTGAAAGCGACATCATCAAGTTAACTGTATTCCTTTAACAGAGAGTTGTGACATACGGGATGAAATCTTTAGCTATTTTTATCTGTTAAGAAGTATAACTTTTTTTTAATTTGGGAAATGCAGTATTTATAACATAAGTAGGTACATAACAGATAAAATATTACATAAACCAGCAAAGTAAACAATAAGAAATTTATAAAACAGAAAAAAATACATTTAAATATAAAAACATCAAAGTTCTTACATGCATACATAAGTACACACATGTTTTTTTATACATTATAGATTGGTCTAAGAAGAATCTATACACATTACACTCATTTACCCCATGTATCATATCTCATGATGATTGATACACAGGATGAATGTTAGTCATACCTCTTATTATAATTATTTAATAATCTATCATAACATATGAATCATTTTAAAACATCATAGGTAGTCACAGTACCTGATACCATAATTTAGGTGGCATTACCATACATGTTTCTATTATGAAATTAATTTTTTTAATAGTTACAATTTTAACAAACTAATCTCCATTGAAAATCACTCCAATTATCAGAATAAAAGTAGGGGAAAGGGGGGTACAGTGAGCCGTAGTACACAGTGAATCAGTGGCTACTTCTCTTTGCCTATGCTTTCTATACACGTACCACAATAATGGAACGCATGCTTTAGTACTTACACCTCTACCCCGCCAGTGTTCATCACGCTCTCGCTGTTGAAGAATGTGTTACCGCCATTTGGCTATCCGTGAGTATCAAATCTATTTTTTTACTACTATTACTCGAGTGTTTTATTCACGAAAATGTTTAATATTGAATGACTTACTTTAAATTACCTAAACAATAATCTAATAAGCTTCAGAAATAAATAGCTGTTTGATTCGTATAGATTATGTAAGTTATAGGAATTTGTTGTTCAGTTGTTAGTGGTGCTTTGGGGAACAGTGGGCCATTTCCATGTGGGGTACAGTGGATTGGCGTTCCACTGTACTCCACACTAAATTTCGAGTTGATTAGACTATTTTATTTATAGTATGTAATAATAAATTTTGTTTTAGATTAACAACATAGCACGGCACTGAAAGAGAAAGACTCAAATTGGTCTTACTACTGAATAACTGAATAGACAAAATGCCATTGTCTTTGTTTTACGGGGTAACAAAATTAGAAAAGTTGTAAAACTAGAAAAATAATCCATATGCAATCTTACATAGATATTATGCGAAAAGATAAAACACATTGGCAAGCTACGTTTAACTCCCAATTATGGGGTAAATAAGATTTTCACTGGAAAAAGAATTAAAAATAAAGAATATAAAGAATATCGAGCAACGTCAACAAGATAAAATTAATAAGCTTGTGAAAGTAGTAAAACATATTAGTAAAAAAGTTATGCAGTTCGATTCTAGTGACGAAGATAGAAAAAAACAAAGGAGTAGTACAAATTAAGAGAGAGAAACGACTAATAATACAAAGAGAATGAAAAGAAAAAAATCTGCGTCTAGTATAGTTAGATGCACATAAAAAGAAAGTATTTTACGCAGGAAAGGGAAGGAGAACAAAAGTAAAGAATGGGTACAGATTACCTGATGTTCCAAATATAGCTTCAGTACCCCTAGAATATATAATAATGAAATTACCTTTGCCTACATTTTGTGGCACTAAACGACAACAGCAAGTCTATAAATGAGATCAATCTCAATTTTTCTCGCTTAAGTTTGTGTTAATTATTATTTTATTTTTTCAATTTCTTTTCGTATTGACGTGATATGTTTTTATTTTTGAAATTAGTTTTATTGTGTATATGTTTTATTTTGTTTCGTTCAAGATTTATGTAATCCAGTTAATAATTTTTAAACCTTAAATAATACCTTAAACTTTTTATATAAATACTAAGTACTTGTTTTATAAGAAATCACTACAAGTAATGTGTTAACTTACGACTGACAGAAAATAAATAGAGATTGATAATTTTGTAATATTGTTGATTAAAAGTGTTCACATAATTCATAAATATTTTTATTTATATATTTTTTTTACAATATTGATTGATTCGCTGTAACCCAACAGTAAAATGTATGATGATTTCATGTGTTGATTCACTGTGCCCCAATAAGATCCACTGTACCCCATGCGGAGATCCAATGTACCTCATATATGGGGTACAATGAATAATTTCCCACTTTTTAAAAAAACCTTTGCTTTCAGAAAACGATTAATATTATTGCTAAAGTTGAACTAGATTTATATAGCCAACTTAACACTTCATTGCTCTACATATAAATATTGGTAATTTATACTTTATTTATATAGGTAAACTACATTTGAAAAAAAGTGATCCAGTGTACCCCCTTTCCCCTACTCCATATCCCTTTCACCCATGAATTATTGTTACTATTATCCTAAATCAACAAACACATCACTTGCAAGGAAAAACATGTAACTTATTATTCTGACTTGAAATAGCACTTAACAGAATAGCATTCTACAATTGTTGAAAAATAGTTTAAATAATTATGATTTTATGACATAACAATATTTTTTTTTTATTTAATACAATTTTTAATTTTATATTCATAAGTGATTATCGATTTCCATCTTGTAAAAGAGATTTATTTCTTTTTCTTTAAATTATCCTCTTACAATGTTACCCTTTGCAGGTATGTGTTTTAACATTTATACGACACCCCCGCTTCGCTTCGGGTTCGTCCCTAGGCAAAACAAAACTATCCCACGGGAATTGTGCATTTTTCATGAATAAAAAGTTGTGTCAAAATGTGTGTAAATAATCTATGTGCTATTCCAGACTATAATTTATCTCTGTGCCAAATTTTATCTAGATCTGTTCAGCCGTTCTGGTGTGAAAGAGTAACAAATATCCATCCATACTCACAAATATATTTATAATATAGTAGTAGGATTTTAATTTTTTTATTTTAAACTTTTCAGTCCAATGGTGAAGATATGAAAATAGATTATATTGAAACATGGAGAGGTATGGAAGAGACGGTGAAGCTCGGTCTGGCAAAGTCCATTGGGGTGTCCAATTTTAATGAAGAACAGTTAGAAAGGTTATTGAAATATGCAAAAATTAAACCTGTGGTTAATCAAATTGAGGTGAGTTTTGTTACTAATTTATAATGTAGTATTTCGTTCTAATTCTTATCAAAATCGGTCAAGCCTTTTAGGAGGAACATTAATGTCCTCCGGACCGATTTCGGTCACGGCAGTCAATCTCACTGAGACTAGGCAACTGAAGGAGATATGATAGTGCAGCGCGTGTGAAAGAGAGAACAGATACGATTCTCTTTCTGTCTTCTCTACTTCCCAACTCCGAGCTGTTACTTAGAATATCTTAACAGAAAAACTTAGTAATTAAACCTGACCCGACGCGGGACTCGAACCCAGGATCACTCTCTGCAGATCTGCAGCCGTATATGATAGTAATTAAGACTACTGAAGCAGTTAAGGAGAAGCATTACGAAAGCATTTTTTTGGACATTAACACACAGCCATCGCGCATCGCAGCGCCATCTAGTTCCATGGTAAGCTACGAGGTTTGTGTTATGGATACCAGATAGTTAATACACTACACATATATAACTTTAAATACATACAATATATTATAACTAATATAAACACCCATGACTGTATAGAAACATTCGTGCTCATCACACAAATTAATGCCCCCAGCGGGACTTGAACCCGCGACCGCTGGCACAATAACTAGGGTCACTACAAACTGAGCCAAACGTCAACATAAACAATACGTCAAGATAAGAATTTTATATATATAAATTTAATATTTATTTTCAGATAAACCCAACTCTCACTCAACATAAATTAGTTGATTTTTGCAAGGAAAGATCAATAATACCAGTAGCGTACACACCGTTGGGTCTCTTGTCTGAGGCCAGGCCGGAGTTCAACGGCAAAGATGTTATCAAAACAGACCCTAAATTGGGTCAAATAGCTGAAAAATATGGCAAAAGTAAAGCTCAAATAGCTTTGAGATATTTGGTGAGTTTCTTAGTTATTGCTAACTTTTAAACCCTTACATTTCCATGCAATCAGCTCTTTTCTAGACTGGCTGTCGGTGTGCGTGCGCAACGTAAAAAAATTGTTTTCATAATTTTCTAAAAAACGTCCCAAAAGACGTGTAAGTTCAATTTTTTTTCTTTTCAGATTCAACGTGGTATACCAGTGCTACCGAAATCCTTCACAAAGTCTCGTATAGAAGAGAATATAAATATATTTGACTTTGAACTAAGTAAAGAAGATATGGATATTGTGGATAGTTATAATTTAAACCATCGTTGTGTTCCGGGACGGGGTTTGGAGAAACTTACCTATTATCCATATTAGTATACTAATGACTTACCCTTGCTTCGCTCGGTGCTTATTATTATTACTCCAGGTCATATTGTACCTGTGTACTAAATTTTATCTTAATCTGTTCAGCCGTTTCAATGTGAAGAGTGACAAACATACATACACACATACGAACAAACATTCGCATTATTTAGGGGGGTCTATAACACTTAGTCTCTATGTAAATAGAGGCGTGTATGCCATTCAGACTTCTGGCTAGCTCTATACAGAATAAAAATTGGACAAGTGTGAGTCTGATTCGCATATATATAATATATATAAATATATATTAGGGTGTGCCAAATGAAGATATTTTTTTTTCTTAGCTCTCACCCCAAAATATCTTAGAAAATGTCCAAACAAAGCTCCTGTTAAAAGCGGAGCTCAAAATTCTAATTCTAAGAGGTTCTCCATCGAACTTAAAGCTTTCCCATGCAAATTGTATGGAAAATATGATTTTTAACACTTTTTTGTCCTGCAAACTATGACAAAAATATTTTTCAAAAAAATGAATGAATGGATCGTTTTTACTATTAAATTTACTACAAAAAGTTCCATTGAGTCGAATTTCTATCTTCAATATTTTATTTGTTATTTAACTTTATAGTTCAAATTTATGGTTTTTTGCATTTTTTAGCTAAACTGTAAGAGTTACAGAAAAATGTTAAATAGAAAATTTGTAGTACGTTTAAAATCCTATAAAAAAGTCCATGTCCATGTCAACTTTTTCACATCATCAATAACAATAAAGTTACAGGCTCACGAATATTTATTTTTTCAAATGTTTGCTCTTACGTCTTACTGTCTGTGAACGCATCACGAGAAAACTGCTGGACAGAATTTGATGAAATTTGGTATGATGATAGCTGGTTATCCGGGTCTACATATAAGATACTTTTTACTGCGGGAAAATATCTCTGAGAAATCTATACTAAACGTTAAATCGTAACTAGGGACGAACCCTAGCGGAGCGAGAGTGAGTCGCTAGTCTATTATAAGAATATACTTTTTAAATTGTCACTTAGAAGATATTGTAAATATCTAAGTAGGGTATTTGTTGAGCGGTACCTATGGGGATTTGTATATGGGTTTTCTTTCTTTTTATTTTTTTCCCCCCTCAATATGAGTTACGGGAATGACGTTTAAATTATCCTTTCTTTTTAAATTTTATTAGTTATAGATAAAAATATTTGCCTCTATATATATGTATTAATTAATAATTTCAATTAATTTTACAATATATTATGTATATATTTTATAAATATTGATAGGAATGAAAAATAAAATAATTAAAAAACATCTCTTATCGCCATAATTTATTTTACTGAAAACATCAAATAAATAATCAAAACATCAATATACAGAGTAAAAAGTGGATAAAAAATTAAATTAGGAATGTGCAGTGAAATCTCTCAGTACATATCAAGTTGATATTACAAAAAAAAAATGAATTTGCTATTTAATGCTTTTTTAAAACAAAAAATTAAAATTTCAATTATAATAATTGATATACAAAAACTCAAGTTATACAATTAGCGTCTCAAAAGTGTCCTTAAAGAAAATCGCACTATACGAAATTGTGCGCTTTCTTCAAATCTCTTTTGTTCATTGCTTTTGAATGACAAGTTAGAACTCACGTTGTTTCGTTAAAATTGCACTTTATGTGGTGTGCATAAGTTCGAATTTGTGTTTAGACAATTAGAACTTTCGATTTTATTCTTTTAGATATTTTTTAGTAAACGTATCTATGTTTTATATATCAATGATTATTATAAAAACAGAAAAACAAACAGCCAATTTGGAAGCTCACTCTTTTTTATAGTTAGTTAAAAATTGTAAACAAAAGAATAACTTGATACAATGAAATTATTTTCAATAACAGTAAAATTTATATAAACATTATTTTTTGTTTTTTGTATCTGTCAAAATGTCAAAGCATTTATTTTAAACCGAGAGATCTCAAACTATTTATATTTGTATAGAATGTATGAAATAAAATGCAAAGAATTAAGGTTTGAAACGTTACAAAAATACATTCACGCTTAAATAGTGATAAGATTACTTTAAAACCAACATCAAAACGGATGAGTACATTTCTCAATTTTTTTAATATTACATGCGATGGTCCCATATAAAATTTAAAAATCCACCTCCTACAGACAAACAATTATTTTTTACAGATGGATCCTGATTTGTTGTCGAAACTGTTTTTACAAAAAATAAAATGAGTGCGTGTAATCTTTACGCGCGGTTGAAGTAAAACTTCTTTGGCGCTGTGGCAGATACCGCAATTACATTAAAACAAATCAATATAATATAAATATAATATTATTTATAAAACTATTAGTAATAAATATTCATTTTCATAAGTCATATTGATTATAATATAACTAATAATAAATATGTAATATTATAAATAATAATTATTATAATAATATAAATGTATTTTTTATTATTAATAATAAATTTGACTCACTTCCGAGACACTCATTTTTCCAATGTATTGATTACCCCTCAGTCACAAATAAAGAAGTTCTACTTCAAAAACATATTTGTAAGACGGTTCAAACTCAAGATTGTCATGAATGTAAAAGTTTTAAAGTAATTCAGTTTTAAAAAATACGTTGTCAAATAATATTTAAAAATCGCCATAATTTACTTTAACACACACTTATGACTAAATAAAAGCATTTAAAATAATATAAAATATTCAGCTTTAACAACTTATTTTAAATAGAATAATAAAATCAATATTTTTTTGACAATTTCAAAATAATTATTATAATAAAAAAATATATTAGGTTCTCAGTGCAGAATTGGCATCTTATTTTTTTAGATATAGTAAAAAAACGTTATATTTTTTAGTTATTTTTAAATGTCACTCGTTATACTATCAAATTGTAATATATTTTTTTTCTCATACTATTTTCATAAAGTCAATGAAAACCTCATATAAATATAAAATAATGGTTCTGTAAATTAAATGCCAGTTAGCTATAACTAGACTTGTGTAAATAAAAAAAAACAGAATTTATTAATATTAGTAAAGTATGATTAAGATGTTTTTATTTTAGTGTTGCCAAGTATAATGGGGTATTCTAACTTGTTTATACAATACCGTTGGTATCAAAAAATATTAAAAAAAAATAGGAACTTGTTTATCGGTAAAATACCTATATATTTATTTATATAATATAATTTATGAATTTATTACAAAAAAAACATCATTCTAAAATTAAATAATTAATTTTAGTCAATGACACCTGGCAACACTGACCTTTGATATGAAATGGAAAAATAATTTATAATTCCTTCGTCCATTTAAAAAAAGTGGTACATAAACAAAAGACGCTCAAAAAGATCCTATCAACCCACAACTTAATAAAAAGACCGTTTAGAAAAAAAAAACAGATAAATCACATTAAACCCTGCAAGAAGAAGTAATAAAATTAAAAAAATATATAAATATTTAAAAAATAACGTGTGTATGTACTTATTTATGTACGCACGTTGGAAGTTATACTTCTTTGGCGTAACAGAACAAAAATTGCTAAAGATTTCGTCCCGTATGTCACAAGTCTGTTTGTAAAAGGAATGCAGCTAACTTCATCGTGTCGCTTTTTGGCTGTCGGTGTGCGCGCGCATCGTAAAAATTTTACTCTTATACTTTTTTCCAAACGTGTCAAAAGAAGTATAACTTCAAAACAAAAAAAACCTTATAAAACTACAAAAATATACCAATGTTGATACATAATATGTATGTATGTAATATCACCCGCATTTCTTTGTTTAGCTATTACTAGCGTAGAAGTTCGTTTTGGGCTTCCATATCAATAAATATTTTTGTAGATAAAAATATGGCATAAAGTAAAAATCTATAAATGGTGAAAAATATTAAAATTTGTCGTTGACTCATGGCTGCCTAGGGCACAGAAATTGATCGATATGGACTCTGTAGTATATATATTAGGTTATTTATTCTACATTGCATGCATTTTTCACAAATATTATCTGAGAATATATTCTTAGAATACAGGAATATTTGCAAGAAATTCATTTTTACAAAAACCTTATAAAAAAGTATTTATTATATATTTTTAATCTGTCTTATTTTTATTTGTTTGTACAATAATAATATAATTTATGTCAAATAAAATAAAAAAAAAAACTTACAAACGTATTTAAACATTAAAAATTCAATGAAACAAATAATTCTTAAGAAACGTCATTATTTAAAACCAGTAAATTTGTTAGATAATTTTGCGACTGTGAAAAAAAACTAAAACTATGTTAAAAAGTTTTTTTTTTAAATAATAAAAATAGCAACGTGGCTTTTGACATTCGAATAAATAAAACTAAGATGGCGTTAATATCTTATCTACATTCACTCACAACATATTTTGACCTATTGCGCCCATTACAATAATCGATTATAGTTATATCTATATCCATAAACAATTCCTATTTTAAGCACACATTTTAAACTCGCCATTTCGTTTCAACCTATTTAGCTTCCTTAGTTGACTTTCTACAATCGCTATCTACATGTCGCAGATGGATTGTCGAATCAGCTGTTTTATAAAATCGCTAGCTGCTTTACATAACAGCTCAGTTATGTAAAACTGAACGACGTTTAACTAAATTGCTATTGCGCTAGTAGTTTTTAATAGTAGGGGTTTGAAATAAAAAAAAACGGTCACCTAAACGGAAATGAAAAATTACTAAAATCTACAATCTGACGTTTCATTTCTCGCTGTTTTACATAACCACTAATCGTTGATCCGCTGCTTTGATAAATGCAAAATATTCACACAATTCTGCGTATTAAAGTTCAACAATAATAAAAAAAAACGCTAAATGTCGTTCAGTTGTTTTACATAACGGAGCCTATTATGTAGGACGACTAGCGGTTTAGTAAAACAATGGATTTCGACAATCCATCTGCAACATATGTATATATAAGCTATATAGCTAAGCACTAGCTACATATAAAGACTTAATGTTTTAGTTTTCTATTAGCGATATCGCTTGTAGAAAATTAAATAGGCTGTAGTAAAAAAGACGCCACAATCTACTTCCATACATAGTTGAACACATCCATGATACTATCATAGATAGTGAAAGTTATAGCTACATCGAAGACGACTCTACTCAACCTGGGCACGGTACCTTTGTAGAAAGCGAGTGGACCCTCCGCTTTCCAGGTCTTGATGAAGCAATCCCATGTGTTCCTATATTTAGCAGCTTCCAGACCTTGCATTCTAGTTTTGACGACGTCTATTGGTGTGTTGCCGAATACTGAGGCCGCTCCTTTAAATAAAATGATGTTTTAAGTTTATTTATTGAAGTAAATAAAAGCAATCATGAGGACTGCCCAGAGAAGTGAAAACTTAAAACTATAAACAAACAGTTGTTATTTTTGGATATTCAAATTAATTGTTTGACCTTAAATAAAAATTTGTAAATTAAAACTGTTTACATCTGGTTTTGACGTCTATCGACACTATGAGTGTAGCGTTAACACGTCACGTGACCATGTCGACGAGTACTTACATGAATTTACTCCCCATCCAAACCTCACTATAGAAGTCAACTCACTTCAAAAAATATTGTACTATCTAAATAAATAAATAAATATGTTGGGACATTAACACACAGCGCCATCTTGTTCCATGGTAAGCTACGAGGCTTGTGTTATGGATACCAGCTAGTTGATACACTACATATATATAACTTTAAATACATACATATTATAAATATAAACACCCATGACTAGAGTACACACATTCATGCCCATCACACAAATGAATGCCCCCAGCGGGACTCGAACCCGCGGACGCTGGCGCAGCAAGTAGGGTCACTACAAACTGAGCCAAACGTGTCTAAATCTAGATCTATACAAATTGGACTTAAATGTGGAATAGTGTGTATTATTTTATATGAGAAATTGTATATGTGTATATGTGTGTATGTATGTTATTCCTTCACATAGAAACGGCTGGACAGATTTGGATGTAATTTAGTGTACAGATAGACTATAAGATATTCTCTAAAAGATACTCCGTCATAACCTGGAGTTAGCAAGGCAGTAGTAGCCCAGTGGTAACACGCTCGCTTGGGAAACCGAGTGAAATCCCATGTCTCGCACCTCTGAGATTTTTTGATATGCGAATCATTTCCAACATGATTACCACTTGTCTTACGGTGAAGGAAAACATCATGAGGAAACCTGCATGTCTGAGAGAACCTAGCAAGTTTTCGAAAGATATGCTCAGTCCGCCCGCAGTTGGCCAGCGTGGTGGAATATGGCCTGGCCTCGTACTGGAGAGAGGCCCACCCCCGGCAGAGGGACTTTAAAATGGGCTAAATACATACAACAACAACCTGGAGTAACTCATAGGCCACTGTTAGTAATAAAAATGTCCAAAGACGGCCTGACTAATATAATCTTACAATATTAAATGAGCAATTCTTGTATATATTATGTACATAAATTAATTTCGTATCTCGGAAACGATTTGGATCAAATTTTGTATTTAGATAAGATTTTGTTTTTTAGGTTTATCTAAAGGTTTTTTTTCTGAAGAAAAAACACAATTTTTTTTATCTTTTCCGAAATAATGACCTCGGTCATCGAGGTACTGTTATAAATACAGCAGTCAATCTAAGGACCACACGAGAGAAGCCAGGGTAATCGCTAGTAATAAAACAGCATAATTCCTTACCAGCAACACCTCCAAACAATCCAACTATGTATTTAGGCACGTGCTTGTCTCTATCGCCTCCTTTGTACCAATCTCTAAGGGATTCCATAACAAAGAAACGGATAGCTTGGTTGCTACCTTGTTTCATTATCGTGGCAGATACACCCTTGTATACGCCGCCGATACCTGGAATGTACGAAATTTAAGATTTTTGGAATTATAGATATAATATATGTAACATACATATATATGTAAGTATACACACACACACACAAGAATAATACAGAAGATGAAAAGAAAAAGAATGATAATAAAACATGCAAAGGCGGTCTTATTGGCTATTGCTATGAGCAATCTAAATATTACCAACAGATTTTAGAAGGATAATATAAATAGGGTAATGTGAATTTATATTAAGAATTATACATTCTTAGATTTACGCTAATGTTTGGGGGTTTAAATAAAACTAAACAATATTTTCGTTTTTTTCGCGGATGTATTTTGATTTTTGGTTCAAAATCAGAAAAGACGTGATTGTCTGTTTGTTACGTATGTCTGTTTGTTATATTGTTATTGTTTTGAATAGAAATATCAAATATTAGATAATCGACATATTTTAACTAAAAAGATGAACTGCATGTCTGAGAGAACCTAGCAAGTTTTCGGCGGAATATAACATGCTTGCAACGGAATGTAAATAGCTTGCTTCCCAATACAAACTTTGATCCCCATTACCACTCCCTTAAGGGATGATCTCCGGAATAAAAAGTACCCTATGTCCTTCCCAGGGTCTCAAACTATCTTCTTACCAAATTTCATCTAAATCGGTTCAGTAAATTAAGAGATTACCCCCTACAACGTCACAAACTCACAATTCACAAACTTTATCTCTCTATAATATTAGTATAGATTTAACGTAATAATTATTATTGTAAAATATACATAGGGTAAAAAATAACTATTGAAATCGGTTTACTTGGTCAAAACCACGTAATATACATATTACATACATACATACATATGTATTATATACAATGATACCAAAAGAAAAAAAATAACAAATACATACAAATACATGAGTACCTCTTTTGGTCAAAAAGTACCTACATTCTATTGATAATATAAGTTGACAAACATGAACGAATTAAATAAAATACATCTATAGTTAGCTAAACTTTGACTATAATCTAATTAATCAATGACTTTAAAAATAAATGACCAAATAATGACTTTGTTTATTTACGAGTGTCGCTGACGTTACTATCATTTGGTTAAATAATAAAATTCGATAACATAATTAGTTGCCTTTGTATCTTGCTTGTACATGGGCACAGGACAAGGATTTCAATCTCATTTGGAACAAAATATTGATTTGATGATATTTGTTGGGATTTTACGGTTGTTTCATATATTAAAATAAATATCATTGTATTACTTCAATATGAGATGACTCTTCAGATGTCACATACAGATCTTATTTTATTAATATTTTATCTGTGACAGCCGAAGATTAATCTAGATATTGTATAATGTTACGTAAGAATTAGCCAATTGACTATATTATGTATTACTTCAAATTAACACCTCCGGGTAAATTTCTAAGAAATTAATTGAAATTCAAAGAAATCTATTGTTAACTGACACGCCGGCGTGTCCACGGTCGTGGAGGGATTAAAAGTTTTATAGTGATTGTATTGCCTACATATATGAATATGTCTTACTAGATATTAAATTCATATAGCAACTAGATTAGACTTATTGGGTGTAACATATATGTACATGTATAATGTATATGTTTACATAACATTGTAATTACTTTTTTAATTTATTTTATATATTTCTTTTATAAAAATATAGATCAAAATTTCAAATCAATACTAACCTTCTTCCCTAACAATGGTCCTAACACCATGGAAGAATCCCTTAAATCTTGGTTTTTCTAACCTCATGTCGTTAATAAATTTAACTTTGACGGTCTCCATGGGTGTCACAGCGAATATTGCTTCCGCCACACCCGCGGCCAATCCACAGGCTAATTTACCAGTATTTGTTAAAGTCCCATTATCCGTCACCATGTACAATTTTGCTTGTTCAAATACTCCAAATCTAGAACAAAATCACATATCAGTTAGTAAATCACATATAATAAAATTCTAACTGAGTCTGTACATTAAATATTTTTTGAAAAATCTTATTGAAATAGTAGTTTTTAGAATTTTTGTCTTCCGTCTGGGAACGCGTCATGAGACTACGAGATCGAGACGACACGATCAACACTGGGCAGATTTTGATGAAATTCGGTATGATGATAGCTGGTTATCCGGGTCAACATATAGGATGCTTTTAACTGCGGGAAAATATCTCATCTCTGAGAATTCTATACCAACTGCTAAAACGAACGACGGGACGTACCTGAGCGGAGCGAGGGTCAGTCGCTAGTAAGCTATATAACACTAAGGCTATACAGTTTCAACCATAACTGATGGATCAAAGTTGGCGTCCAGTCAAGGGGTTTAACCCACATGTATGTTCAACGATTTTAGGTGGTTGCAAAGTTATTTTGATTTTAAAAACTGAATTGTGAAATAAATAGTATTTGGTATTTACTATACTAGATTTTAGACTAATTTTCGCAAGTAAAGCCGAAATATCAACTATATGATAGTGGATTTTTTCTGAATTAGTCTAATACTGGGACCTTATTGCCATGATAAAAGTAACAGCTGTACTTCCGTCATTCACTATTTGTTTTTTAAAATCAAAATAATAACTCTGGAAGCAGCAAAAATAGGTGAATACATGGGGGTTGAACCCCTCGACTCCTCGGCAACTTTGATCCATCCATCAGTCATATTACAGACTATATGTTGTATAGGCTATAATAACATAATATAACAAACTACTCGAGCGTAGTCACAAGCAAAAGCTAGTGAAAGATATGTATCTCCGAAAGGCTAAACAATATAAAGATAAGTTACTATATTTGAACATAAACTAGGATAACGTTATCACATATCGCCACTTTGATAATTTTGGCGTAATGGTAAGAAAGTCCATTTAATGGATATCATGGGTAGTTTGGTGAGTGAATGTCTGTGCAAAAACGTTAGAATTGTTTTTATCTCTATTTTTAATGACAAAATAACAGCCTTTTACTAAATGCATATGAATACGGTACTAATAATAAAAAAATGTGTACTAAGTGTATCTGTTTGTTCCGGCTAATCTCCGTAACGGCTGGACCGATTTTGACGGAACTTTCACTATCGGATAGCTAGTCTACTTTTATTTTAGTAAAAGAATCACGATTCCGCGCAAAAAATTAAAGCTTGTGAAATTGTGAACGAAATCCGCGTACCTAGTCCGGATGCATCCGTGCGAATAGAAGGTAAGTCGCTAGTCCTAGATAAAACAAAAGAACACTTTTCATCGACGTCCTTACCTTAAAGCGCGGCCGCGGGCTAAAGCTACTTTTAATATATACACATATGTACCTAATTCAATGATGATTTTTAAAATTAAATAAGAATTATATGTATTGTAGAAGTTTTATATAAATTAAGATAAAATCTTAAGAAAGTAGACTTGATTGAAAAGCACTAATTTCATATTATATGTCTATTTCATTATACATATATCTACACATATAATAAAACTGTAATTTAACAAAATCGATGTGCGTGTTTCACACAAAAAAGAATGAACCGATTTTAATTAAATTTTGTGTAGTGATAACTCTGGTCAACATTTAGGATACCTTTTACTACAGGAAAATCTTTCAATCCCACGGGAAAATAAAATAATTAGTTCTATCGAGTAGTCCTTAGAAAATCCTATAATCTTTCTCTAAGTAAACTCGCAATAACTATTGATATCGCATCCGAGCGAAGTGGTGGTAAGTCACTAGTTTATTAATAATACATATTTTCATCACACATTTTTAATGCGGATTTTACATATTACAGGATATAACATAATATTTATTATATAACTAATAATACGCTCTCAAACAAATAAGGTAAATATATGCTTTTCCTTCCGACGGGCTTAACCACAGGTTCATGAAGTATATAGGAGTTATAATAAACATCTTAGCGGGTATTCGTTGAGGCAAAGTACGTATTTTCGTAGGTTTTTGTTATTGATTTAAGAAGCCATTAAATTATTTAGGTTGCTATTTGATCGTCTTTCATTTGACGGAAAATGTGAAGTCTTATGCAAATTTTTACTCTAAACTGAACCTGTTTATTTTTAAGAGATTTTTTTGTTATTGAAAACCTGAAGTTTTATGATTTTAAAATGTTAGCAAGTATATAAGGAATAGAAATTCGTAAAATGCCCCCGATGCCCAGATACCTCCGAGAAACGGGGGGGTTGTCAATTTCCTGCGTACTGGAATGTTCTATCGAAAAATGTTTTCTACATAGTTGTAGGTCTAGTAAAACTGTACAACTTTTATAAATAACACTTTTTACAATAACCTCAATGTTTTCTAGATATTTGCAAAAAACTCGGTTGTTAACTGATTCTTGGTTTTTTATTTTTTATTTCTAGAATAATCTTTTGATCAAAAAAATTTTTTTTACTAAACTCTTTATGTCGATTTTCTCCTGAGATATTCGACTTTCAATAAAAAAAGGATCCTTCTCTTTTTCTTCACGACTGATCAAATTGAAAAGTTGGAATGTTTACGGCAACATTGTATAAATAATAAGCGTCAAATTAAAAACTTGGCGACACCATTTTTTTTCGTTTTTTTTTTTAAATACATTGGTGTAGTCAGTTTATAAAAATTTGGTCAATAAAGTACACTTCTTCAATGATAATTGAAAAAACTGTAGTTTACAAAGTAAAAATTATCGATATCTCCAATTTTAAAAAATTTTTAGGATGTGTTTACAAGACGACAATGTTTTTTATTTTCAAAAAGTAGAGTACAAGACGAAAAAAATGAGCCCTATCTGAAAATTGAACAAAAAATTTTTTGTTTCACGTTAAACAAACGGCGGTGTGCCCCGACACAGCCCCACCCTATTTTTTATATATTATATGAACATAATATATCTGTTTGGCTTTTTGTGTAGTCAATAATTCTGTATGAAAAACTCTTTCGGTAAATTGGATAAAAACGCCTGTACACGACGTAAAAAACTATATTTACCTACATGTTTATGTCTTGTTGTGGCTAGCAATGTTTAATTGCAGTATTGGTATTGCATGTTACATTGAATGGAATAACTTTACGGTAGCTAAATATATTTGACTGAAAATAATTGCAGAAACATCATTTCAGAAGATAACTAAAGTTAGATACGAAATTCAAATTGACAGCTTATTGATATTGATGTGGTGATAATCATTCAGAGATAGATACGAAATAACACCCCCTCTTCCCCCCCCTCCCCCCTCCCCCCAATAAATGTAAAGATCCGATATATAGCTAAAATACATTTAATTACATTTCGTTACTAAACTACATTTCGTTTGTTTCCTCCGCAAGTTACGATGTTAAAAAATAGCCCACCACTTTCAAACAAATCTCTTACCTACTCGTCAATGTTCGTTTAAAATCCGTTATCCACATTCCCGCGGATATATTTCCTCTTTTTTTAAACATGTATTAACGGGTACAAGCATGTACATATACGAGCAATATTTTTTTTAAAGACATGTTTTGATATTCTGCAAATTGCCGAATAATCCAATATTTCTTTTTCTAAACGCCGATAATATCTATACTAATATTATAAATGCGAAAATTTATGAGGTTGTATGAATATCTGGCTGTATAGTTTTTATTCCGGAAAAATGTACGGTTCCCGTGGGATAGATAGACGTACTCGAGCGAAACGAGGGTGAGCTATTAGTACATAATATAAATAATATTGATAATACATAAGTAGATATCTTGTTTGGTCGAAATATAAAATAAATCAGCCACCCACTTATTCAACTATAACTAAGAACTATTCTAACCTCATAAGTATTTAACACAAAAACTCATCAAAATCAGTCAAGCCGGTTAGTAGAAGACATACGAACACACGCACAGCGGAATTTTATATAAAAAGTTGTCATTCTTAACTTATACGCCATGTTACATAACCGGGCTAGTGACCGATATGTCATTGAGTGTTATCAGGACATGACATGGTGAACTAAACTATCTAAATGACTAATGAATTACTTTGTGATTGTCATGTATTGGAAAGCTATTCTGTACCCCTTAACCTAATTATTTTGGTATAATTCTTTCTAAAAGATAGTTTAATTTAAGATACTGTAAAATATTTTAATGCAAAAAATATCTGAAAATTAAACGAGTTCTTTTTAAATGTAAACGTCCACTTGAAGTTGGGGGTGATTTTCAGCCTCTCGAGACCATAAAACATGCTTTTCTCGGAAAAAGCTAAGCTAATTTTGAAAATAATATTCCCTTAGTTTCATGAAAATCTATTATTTCTTTTTTGATTATTCTAGAAATTATATTTTGATTATTCTAGAAATTAAAAATAAAAAACCAAGAAAAAGTTATAAACAAAGTTTTCTGACACTCTAAACATTTTTCGATAGAAGTTAGAACGTCACAGTAAGCCGGAAATTGATAAAACTATTTTTCAACGCTTTGCGTCCCCCCATTTCTCGGGGGTAGCAGCTGGGTATCGGGGGTATTTTTACGAATTGCTATTCCTTATATACCTGCAAACATTTTAAAATCATATAACTTCGGGTTTGCAATATTTTGTTTCCAAACCGGATTCCGATAGGACCATATGTATAGTGATGTTAGTTACTCTTTCACGCGGAAACGGCTGGACGGGTTAAGGTGAAATTTAGTATACAGATAGACTATAAACTGCAGTATAACATAGGCTACTATAATAATAAAATTGCCAAAAAATGACAATAAACGTGCCATACTAATATTACAAAAGTGAAAGTGTGTTTGTTTGTCCTTCTTTTACATCGAAATGGAGTGAAGGATTAGCGTGATTTTATGGAGATAGTTGGAGGGCTGGAGAGTGTTATAGGCTATTTTTTACCGCGGGAGATTATCTCATTTTCACGGGAAAACGCGTTATAATACAACCCACAACAACTCATCACATATAGTGTACCTATTCCATACTAACTAATAAAACGTATCTAGGGACGAACTGTAGCGGAGCGAGAATGTGCCGCTATTAATATTATAAATACAAAAATGCTAATAAATTATATAAATATTAGCACTTACCGTACAGCAGATTTGGGTATAGAGCCATAGAGAAGGACACTAAGCCCTCTATACAAGCCAAGGACTCCATGGCCTTTAACAGTTTTCCTTACACAATCAAATATTCCTGTGTATTTTCTTGTGCCACCTGAAACAATTTTAAATAAAACATTAGAATAAAGCATATAAATAGCGTCTTCTACTTCATACATTACGAGTAGGTACATATGTATGTAATTCTAACATACAGACAATATATATGTAAGTTATGTACAATCGTTAACGAATCTATAGAAATATAATGGAAATTGCCGCGGTGGTGTAGTGGCTAGCATGTACGGCTGCACACACGGAGGTCCTGGGTTCGAGTCCCGGGTCGGGCCAAGTTTAGTTATTGAGTCTTTCTGTATAGTAAGCCTCAGTAAAGCCTGGAGTTGGGAAGTTGGCGGTGTTCACCCACTTGCCTCGGAGAGCACGTAAAGCCGTCGGTCCTACACGCCTTAACTCTTACCGGTCGCGTCGAACAGTCGTCCCACCGGAGTATGAGAGTGACAGGAATAAAGAGTGCACTTGTGTCTGCGCCTACACTTGTGCACTATAATATCTCCTGCGCAGTTGGCTAGTCTTAATGAGATTGGCCGCCGTTACCGGAATCGGTCAGGAGAATATCATAATGGAAATTGGATATTGTGATTCTATGATATATTCAACGATTCAATTAATAATCATTTCAATACAACTTTTGTATCTATTCTTCAGAGATTATAGAATAAGTATCATTTTGCCTAAAACCCAGTTACATACTCGTACAAAAGTATCAACTTCCGCAAGTGCTTCCCTTTTATAGAGGTGAGCATTAATTGTATTAAGCCCTTTCAACGTTCCACTGCTGGGCACGGGCGTCCCTTCAATACGATCAGGCCATAGTGCATTACGCTGGGGCACAACGCAAAAGTGCGGGGAAGACTTCACATCTCTTTTGAAATTTGCTAGATTATCTCAGACTTGCAGGCTTTTTCACCATATTTACCTTCACCGTAAGAATGTTGAAAATGTTTCGTACATGAAAATAGCAGAGGTGTGAGTCCCGGGATTTGAACACGCTTCACTTGATTTCCCAAGCAATCTCATTAATACTTGCTTACCACTGCTTTGAACAGTAATAATATATATACTAATATTATAAAAAGGTAAAGTTTGTGAATTGTTTGTGACGTTGTAGGGGGTAATCTATGGATCTACAGAACCGATTTAAATGAAATTTGGTAAAAAGATAGTTTGAGACCCTGAGAAGGCCATAGGATACTTTTTATCCTGGAAATCATCCCTTAAGGGAGTGAAATTTGTACGGAACCCTCGGTGGGCGAGTCCGACTCGCACTTGTCCGTAATTTTTTTAAGTAAAATGTATGGATATCGATGTATCTATTGCTGAGTAAATCCCATCGAGTTAACTTTTCTTAACACTATAAATGCGAAAATGCGTGTTTTGTCCTTCGTTTACGCAATATCTAAGCAACTATAGACGTGATTGGTTGCTTATTACAGCGTTTATCGGCTTTTTTATCTTGTGGTATATTAAGTGGGATATTAGTAGTTACTAGTTAAGTACTTAAAATACTAATCTAGGTGATATAGAACGAAAAATACTTGTGTATATTCGATTTTAAATAGAACTATCCTTTCGGATTTTTTCGCGGATTTATACCTATAGATTTTTGGTTCACAATATTTTAAATGCCTTTACAGCAATTATGGTCGCGGGAGAGACTGAGTCACCAAAAATCTGAAAAGGTAGTTTTATTTAATATGTAAAATATTCACGTAATTCTAAAAAAGTATTATGTGTGTATTACCTACTTGAATAATAAAAATATATACCCCATAAGCCGTATATCCAATATTTTGCTCGATTTGTTTGTACCTACTAATATAAAATAAAATAATGTAATATAATAGATAGTGATGTGTTAATCACTTTCAACCTGAATACAAAATAGTAAATCGATGTAGCAATAGATATTACATGTTAGCAGTTGCTATCTTACGATTTGATTGTCTCTTTATGGCGAAATGTGTTAGAGCTAGGATTTTTTTGTCTTTAGGAATATTAAGATACAGATTTAGGTCCTGTGGTCCGTCAATAAATGTACCCACGTATGTTAGTCATCGAAAGCGTGACTCTCTATTAAAATGTTTATTTACTTAAAATTTTCGTTCGTGTTTGAATCGAACTAACTTTTAACGAATATATGAAAGCATTATTAACTATTGCTATTATAGAAACAAAAATATACAATAACCAGGGTTCGAACGATAATTATCATTGATAATTATCATAATAATTATCATGATAACTATCATGATAAATACGGGTTGACAATTATCTTTGATAAATATAATTGCAAATATTTAATTTGTAACTCTTCAAATTGTCGATCAGCTAACACAATAGTATTATAAATTTGATCATCTCCAATAAGAGAACCTGGATTTCCTAATTCAGTTCGAATTAATAAACTAAGAGATGTTCCTACTATTCCTGCTCAAATTTCAAAAATAAAATATCTCTCAATCAGTTCAAAAAACTTAATCAGCAAACTGAGTTAATGCAGTTGAGGAGGATGAGGATGATATTCCAATCATTAAGGAGTCTGCTGAATACACCGTCTCATACCATGATGGTACTATGAACGTATCAGACACGGAAACAAGCGACACGGACTAATAGTAGTCCGTGTCGCCCACTATAACGTATCATTCGCGTATCAACCACGTATCATCCGCGTGTCATATCCGTATACATAGTTCAAGTTTTCTCAGTCGTAGTAGGTCACCTGTGTTTTCGCGTGAGGCAGCCGCGTCAGGATTAGCGAATGAATATTTTTGTTACGAAAATTATTTCCTATACTTATTCGATGGCCAGTAGAAACTTGTCCGACAGAGAATTGACAATGATAGCCATTGTTTTAGACGAGGAAGAAAGAGAATATCATCAGTCGATCACGACGTTACTAGGTTCACGTAGTTTAAAAATATTAAAAAAAAATATTATCACTAGAAGACGTTTATAACGGGCTTAGAACGGTCATCATACGCAGTTATAACTCGTGTGCTCATCCGTGTGCGCGCACCGGTTCGGCAACGTCGCGTGCCAGGCACGGAGCGTATCGGCACCGGCAATATATTCTTGCCGACAATTATTGTTAACTTTCCATGCACGGCACGCGACGGTGTTGGTCGGTGACGGAAAGGTCTTGGTCGGTGATGGAACGGTCTAGTGGGCATAGTTTCATATTTTTCTATACAAATAATATTTTTTGCCTGACACGGTCCTAGAACTGTCATGGTATGAGACGGTGTAGTGGGCAGATAACTTTAATTTAATTAAATAGTGTAGTTGGTCAAATTTATTCTGTTTTTATTTCATAGTTTGTATATGTCAAAATAATGAAAAAATAATAATAATATAAGATTACCTTGATTGTTAAAAGTGTATAATATTTATTCTAATGTAAATTATAATAGGCAAGTAGTCAAATACCAATACTTACACAAGGATTGCTAAGTTTATATCTATTTGATAATTATCGGATAATTATCTGATAATTATCTTGATAATTATCGATAATTATCAAAAGATATATTTATCTTGATAATTTCATACCCTGACAATAACACTACATGTGTTAAGTATATACCTACTGTACATTTCTTTATTTTGTTATTAGCGATGTCGATTGTAGAAAGAAACTTAAGTTGTTTTATGAGGTTGAATAACCATTAAAACAATAAAAAGCATACACGATATTACCACGGTAATGTTTATGTAATATTACCAAATAGCTCAAAATTATTTATATCATAACATAACATTGGAATATTTTATTAATAACTTTTCTCACTATCTACTAACAAATAAACATCTCGGACATCTATTTTTATTATAAAGATTTCACCTTTTACGTAATCGTCTCCACAATATAGTAGGTACATATATTTCGGTTGCGTCACTGGATATATTCTAGGTTAAGTACTTTTGATCAAAGTCCATAGACTGCTTTTTTTTTATGTTATATTTGTTTCAAGGTAGTGGTAGCCCAGTGGTAACGCGCTCGCTTAGGAAACCGAGTGAAGCGAGTTCAAATCCCGGGTCTCGCACCTCTGATATTTTCCTGTGCGAATCATTTCCAACATGATTACCACTTGTTTTAACGGTGAAGGAAAAGGATACCTGCATGTTTGAGAGAACCTAGCAAGTTTTCAAAAGACATGTGAAGTCCGCCAACCCGCTTTTGGCTAGCGTGGTGGACTATGGCCTGATACCCCTCATAGTCAAGGGAGACCCGTGCCCAGCAGTGGGACGTTAAAAAGGGCTGAATACAATTTCTTTCATAAAGGTATGTTCTGGCCGGCATGGCAGTCAAAGAAAGAAATAATGTATGAGAATGGCAGTATACAAGGGCCATTATAGTTCGTTGCTTTAAAAAAATCCTTTGCTTTTTAAATAGTAAAATGTTAAATGATGTAAACTAGAAAGCATGTTTTTTTAAATAATCTTATCATTTTTTTAGTGACAGTTCCCAGTCTTAACTCTTGCCTTCTTATTACACGTATTATTTTTTTAATCTAAACAGACTTAAAACATATTTACACATTTAAAAAAGAGTTTAGATACGTCCGTCTGCCACATTTTTCATATCTCAAACACTAATCCTAAAATAAACAAACAGTCACGACTCACGAGTTGTTGCATTAAAATATTAGAAGTTTTGAGTTTCTCGAACGAATTTCAATGCGATTTCTAATATAATGTTTTAAATATGTAGTTCAAGACACTTTTAGTATTCGGTATTATTATCTACGTATTCTGCATGACCAAAATAATAATAAAAATACCACGGCCGCTTCCATTTTCATTATCATCACTTAGTAATAAGATATATTGCATGCGGAATATTACATTCATACTAACATTATCTGTCCGCCAACCCGCAAATGGCCAGCGTAGCGGACTATGGCTTGATCCTCTCGTATTGAAGGGAGGCCCGTGCCCAGCAGTGGGACGTTAGAAAGGGCTGCATACACTAACATTATAATTTGAAAGTTTGTTTGTTTGTTCTTTTTTCGCAGCGAAACGGAACGACGGATGAATTAGATTTTTTTGTACGGAGAAACCCATACAAAAACTCTTATCCATCCATCCATCTCCGTTAGTAGAGTTTTTAGTTTTTACCACAGGAAAATGTCTTATTGCGATGGGAACACTTCTATACATATAATAAAATTATAATTAAGCCGTATCTGTATAGGATACTTTTTACTGCGGGAAAATTTCTTAGTTCTGAGAAATCTATACTAAACGGACGTAAATGGGGACGAACCCGAGCGGAGCGACCGTGAGTCGCTAGTCTAAATACTTACATATAATAAAATTGTAACTAAGCCGAATCTGTACATTTAATATTTTTTGGAAATCTTATTGAAATAGACATTATTATCGATACAGAGGCCGAATCTACAGTTTTTAGAACTTTTGTCTGTCTGTCTGTTACCGCATCACAGAAAAACCACTGCAGGGATTTTGATGAAATTTGGTATGGTGATAGCTGGTTATCCGGGTCAACATATAGGATACTTTTTGCCGTGGGAAAATATGTCATTTCTGAGAAAAAATACAAAAACTGCAATGTAAGAGTATACTAATATGTAAAACCTAAGAATTAGATTTTTCTCATTTGAACGCGGGCGGAGACGCGGGCAATGCTAGTATGATATATATGATATACTATATATTATATTATACGTATGATGAGCTGCTGTGGCTTGTATTATAACGTGGTATGATGAGTTGCTACAACCCATTATATTATAAAGTGTTTTCTCGTGGGAATGAGATAATCTCCCACTGTAAAAAGTAGTAAAGAAGTAAGAATAAGCAAAGAGCCAAAAAATAAATTGACATTGAAACATTTAAAATGTTTGATTTATAGAACAAGTTCATTTAAATATTAGTTCAAACTTAAAACACTATTATTTACGAGTTTTTGATAAGCCTATAAGGCAATTAATGATAGGGGGCTATCTGATCCAATGTGCTGTTAACATATGAGAAATGAATTCAAGGTTGATCGTAAATTGTACTATTTTTGGAATAGAAAGAATAAAAGTTAAAGCTTTTTTAGTTTAGTTAATTTTATTGCGATACTAATGCCAAACCCTTGCTTTTCTTGAGTTCGCTTAGCTTATGTAGCTCTCCAACTATATTCACACAAAAAATCACATCAATCCTTTTCCCCGTTCCGGTGTATCAGAAGGACAAATAAATAAACACATTCATTGTAATATCAGTGTATATACAGTAATACTCTAAATTATGTAAAAAATCTATTTTCAATTTTTTCTGTTTAATTTTTTAATTTATTTTTTATAATTTAAAATTAATTTAAATGCATTAAATATGAAAGCTATTATTAGAGTACCTAAGCATATAAAAAACTCAAATAAAAAATAATAATTTTAGTTTTAACTTTTAAACAGTGTCCAATGTTATTTGTTTTGCAATTTTCTGCCACAATCTTCTTTTTTTAGTTATATATAAGAACTAGCACTGCCCGCGGCTCCGCCTGCGTTCAGATGACGAAAAACCAAATTCTTAGGGTTTACATATAAGTATTGCAGTTTTTGTATTTTTCTCAGAAATTAGACATTTTCCCGCGGTAAAAAGTATCCTATATGTTGACCCAGATAACCTGCTATCACCATACCAAATTTCATCAAAATTCCACCAGTGGTTTTTCTGTGACGTGGTAACAGACAGACAGACAGACAAAAATTCTAAAAACTATAAATTCGGCCTCTCTATTGATAATAATGTTTATTTCAATAAGATTTTCTAAAAAATTTTTAATGTACAGATTCGGCTCAGTTACAATTTTATTATATGTATAGATTTGATATACAAATAGAAATAAAACTATGGCTGACAACATTTTAATAGTAAAATAACGCTCTATAAGAGTTTTTACCTACAACAACCTTTGCGCTAAAAAGAGTCAGTCAGCGAGCCATAACTATTATCATTCACTTTTCATGGATAAGCAATATCTAAACAATGTGGGATTACTTAATAAGCCTATTGCATTATACCATTTGGTACATCATTTTGTTGTAAGTGGTAAGCCAATTTAAATCTAATGTTATACCTAGCTTAAGTTCAAATTCAAAATAAAAGAAAATAAATTGTACAATAATGACATGTAATTAGAATGACTTTAATTGGATCTTTTCATAATCAAATTAAAAAATAACACAAGAAATTTAAATGATAATTTTAACATTACTATTAATTTTATATATATGTTTTTAATATTCATTGCATAATTGGAGTAGTATTAAAATTATTATATAGTATAACATGAAGTCGCTTCCGCTTTCTGTTTGCTTAGATCTTTTAAACTATTTAATGGATTCTAATGCAGTTTTCAGCAATAGATACGAGTAATTCGAGAGGAAGGTTTATATGTATGATACATGCATATGATAGTACAGAAAAGCCAAGAAATTCAAAGATTTATATTGTGCACTCACATTGCCTACCTAGTTAATAATAAATTAAAATGTTTAATGTTTAAAATCCTTATAATTGATAAACAAAGTAACAGCACAATTACTTCAATTTAAAGAATAAATACTATGCTGAATTAATAAGTTTGTAAATAATTTAAATGTATTATGTTAATGCATAAAAATATACATAAAAACAATAGTGATTATGTCAGATAAAAAAGTTAAGATTATTGTTTTTGACGCAAAAACTATATATTTAAGAAATTGCGTCTAAATAAAAAAAATATAAGAATTGAAAACTGAAAAAGCAAACAGTACTTTTCGAAGTAATGCGACAAATTTATCTGATAAATGCTACATTAAATATTATTACCTACAGATGTACAAAGTCCATAAAAATTTACCATTCATTAAACAACACGGAAGAGAACTATATTCTTATTTGAAAAACAACCTCGTAAGCCATACTTGCAACTTGATTCTAATTGGAAATTTTATTAAACGTTTACAAGTAGCACATTGCAAAGCATGCTCATGTTTTCTTTCAGCTTACCTACATTAGTGACGCATTAAATTTTATTTATAGAATAAAATATATTTTCCTCTTAAGTAATTTTGAATATGTTTACAAATGAAATAATATGATAAGATACGAAAATGTGATGAATGAAAGTCCAATTGAAAAATGATTTTGACTTTGCACTGACCTTTTTCGTCTAACTGGAGTTGTGTTTTCACATATTCGGTAGGGAATGTTATACAAATTTCAATGCCACCAGTTATTCCGCCGGCGACTACTCCTTTTAGTCCGATCGACCCTGGAGCTCCTGCTGCGGCCGCCGCACCAGTTTCCGTCATCCATGGTCTGGAAAATGGATTTTTAAAATTTCCTGTCCTAGTAGACATAGTAAATTTTACGCACTTGTCGTTTATTTAACGACGACGACACGCAGCAGCACCTCCTCTTGCGATAATTAACTACAAACTGAATGAGATTGAATGCAGAACGAATAATAAATAAACCTTAGCCATTTAGATCGAACCGGCCTGAGTCGTACAATTATGAATTAATTGAATGAATGATTATAGATCTTCAAATAGTCTAAATCACAGACTAGGAACAAGAGTCAAAATTATAGCTAATACCATGGATGACAAATAAAATCTAATACATAAAAAAGCTAATACAAAGAGAAGTCACAGATCTATTAAATATAATATGGGCCAAATAATGCGAATCTGTGGCGCAACCATCATTTAAAAAAAAATACGCAGCCATTTTGTGACGTAGGACGCTTTAATCTTTGACGTATGACGTTGTCAAACAATGATTGTGCTTAGTGCGGGGAGTTAATTTTAATAGGTTTTTAAAGATTTTATTCCTCTATAAATTGTTACATTTTTGTTTACAGTGAAATAAAATCCTTCAAAATGGCTTTAAGAACATACGGCGATAAGCCGATAAGTTTTCAAATAGAAGAAGGTGGTGAATTTTATTGTGTTGGATCTGAGGTATTTATGAATTTTTCAGGATAATATACATATTTTATTCAATAAATCAATATGTCAGTATATACTATAACTCTTAAAATGAATGTATCACGGATGAATTTTCATTTTAGGTTGGTAATTATCTTCGGTTATTCCGTGGATCTCTTTATAAAAAGTACCCTGGCATGGCCAGGAGAACTCTGACCAATGAAGAGAGAAAACGATTAGTAGATAATGGCTTAGGTCCACATGTTTTATCTAGCTCTGTATCTTTACTCAAAGCTTCAGAAGTAGAAGATATAATCGAAGGGAATGATGAAAAGTAAGTAAAGAAATTAATTATGTTTTGACTTTAATAGTTATTGCGACACTAAATTATATCTATTATAGACATTGATGGACACTATTTGTAATACTTAAGATAATATAAACTTGTTATCAAAAAATTATATTATTAAAACTATATTTAAAAATTCAAACATGTAAATTCAGCTGTTGTTTTTTATTAAAACTTCTATCTCCTATCACAGAAAATTAAATTTTACTTGCTGTTCAAAATCATATTATATTAATCATATATGTTAAAAGTTTTTCTAATAAAGAGGTAAAGAACTACCACCATATTTATTAAATATTATTACTAACTTGTCTTATGTATTTAGTTTTTATTGGAAACAATTTGCAGATACAAAGCGGTATCTGTAAGTCAAGAGCTGGCAACTCCTCGAGAGGGTAAGAGCAAAAAGCCACACAATCCATCATGGTTGCCAGTCATGCCCAATTCTTCCCATTTGGATGCTGTGCCACAAGCTACACCAATTAGTAGAACTAGAGTACATAACAAAAAGGTATTTTGAAAATGTTTATTTTTATTTTTTTGAAAACATAGTGTATAGAGTAATATTATAACATTCTTGCTGGTCTAGTGGCTGACATGCATGGCTACAGATCCAAAGGTCCTGGTTTTGATATCGGCTTGAGCCAGGTTTTACTGAGCTTTTGTGTTAAAATATTCTCAGTATATTCAGGTTGTGTCGAAGTATCATCTCATCGGACTTTGAGAGAAGAAGTAATAGAAAGTACAATTGTGTCTGAACTATAATATCTCCTGCGCGTCTGGTTAGTCTCAGTGAAATGGGCCGCCATGGCCGAAATTGGTCCGGAGGACATTATTATATCTTGTACCAAATATCACTCATGAAATACAGGGTTTGCTTCATAGAGGATTATCTTTTTTTCCTTTTTGCCACCAATGGTTCATTATTCCATTAATTCAACAACTATTTGATAACTTAAAAGTATTTTAAGTTCAGCTTTAGCAGTCAAATTAAGAGAAAGTCTAGACTCATGTATACTTGTATTATGTAAAGATTTGAAAAAGATGTATTATATAGTCATACATATTGAAAAAAATAAATTAAAAAGTTCTCTACCACACATCACAATGCAATCCTTAGATAAATATTTTACATATAAGTAGAGCTACCGGCAAATCTAGTATATCCTGTATAGAAAAAATGTAATTAATTAGTCAAATATTAGTTAACATAGATTTTCTCCTAAGTTATAAGTAGATGTGTGTTAGTTCAAACAACTTTTTATAATAATTGTTAATTTACCTTAAATAATGAAACTTCCTAGGTGCGGACATTCCCTCTATGCTTTGACGATACAGACATGACAGCTATGCTTGAAAATGCTTCACAAAAGCAAATTCTTGTACCGATCAGATTGGATATGGAGATTGAAGGACAAAAACTCAGAGATACATTCACTTGGAATAAGAATGGTAAAATATTATTGTATTAGTCTTATTTATACCTACTTCAAACATATTTGATTTGATAGAAAACCACCTTGCAGCGTTTTTTTTATTTCTTAATGTCTTGAGGCTGGTTTTTATTTATTTTTTTATATCTGACAGCTGGTTTTTGTTAAATTAATTATTATAATTTACATTAATATTTAATATACAAACAGTTAATATAATATTGTTATGTTGTGTGAGTTCTGGGATCGTAAATTAAAGCAGGTTTTTTGACTATGGAGGTTTTATTACTTTAGGTTTACTAGAGTCACCTATAGTGATTCACAATATATGCACAGTTTTGACTTAACTCAGTTTCTGAGCACAATTTTACACCACTATTCAATTTTCCCTTAGCTCCGAAATACAATTGAACTCTCAACACAATGCTGGCTTTGTTATATGTATAAACCAAGAACATTCTTTTATAGGAAAATTCGAAACTTTCTCTCACATACAATCAACAATAAACTTTTTGTTGTTGTCTTATGGTGTGTTTGTGTAAAGCATGTTTCAGATGTGCCATTTTTAATTAGTATTGGTATAATGACATTACACACTCTCCACTATATGACAATATTGAATTTTTGATTGAAGAATAAATTTATGACTAAAATAATCAGACAGATATTAATACATGTTTTTTATTACAGAATCAATAATAACCCCAGAGCAGTTTGCAGAAGTGCTATGTGACGATTTAGAACTAAATACAAGTACATTCATACCGGCAATAGCAACATCTATCCGTCAACAAATTGATGCATATCCGAGCGAACCTCCAGCAATATTAGAAGAGCAGTCTGACCAACGGGTTATAATTAAATTGAATATACACGTGGGGAACACATCACTAGTTGATCAAGTAAGTAAACACTACAAATTTTTGTCTATGGTTTGATGTAATCATAGACATAGAGAATGGACCGAGCAATACTTTCATGAAATTGACAATGAGAGAATTGAATAAGCGGCCAATACTTGTCTTTTATTACAATTTGAATTTATAAATGGAATGTAAAACAATATAATTATTAGTAATATAATATTATTGAAAATTATAATATTATAATGGAATGTAAAATAGCTATAAATATATCTATCATTATTAATCGTATTTTAATTAGTACAGAAGATTTCTGGCCGCACATTTGTTTTGTTTCTGTCATGCCTTTCTGCCATTTTCAACTGAGATCTGATAAAGACACACTCGGTCAACTCTCTATGTCTATGGATGAAATGTAGCTAATCTGATGGTTTCAAGTATTTCTACCTTATCAAAGTATTTTTTAAATATTTTGATCGACTGCCCTAGACGCGCGCCCTTATATAGAGGTCTTATATTATGGCGAAGGTACTCAACAGAGTGCAAAGTATCCTCCCTTATGTTAATCTGCCGCCCTTGAGCAACTCAAAAAACCCCTTTTTGGCCTTCCCCACTTATAAGGCGATTATTTATTTGGTAAATATTTTAATGGCTAAACTCATTTAGCTGGATTGTTATGGCATACCTTCGACAATATATTGCTAAAAAAATACCTAAATTATGTTTAAATGTTAATTATTTTTACTTTTACTTATTTCAATTTCAATCTCCATAGCATATCAATATTCAATATAGGCTTAAATAGTTGGCCTTCTAGTGACTTCTTTTTCAAATGGAGGAACCATTGCTACTTGTATTATTGTATATTAATAATCTTATTTTGGGCTAATTTACCGAATTTCATCATCAATAGATTAACAAGACAGCAAGAATATTGCTCATCCAAATGGTTAATTTCAAAGTATGTTATATTATAAGGAATTTAAAACTTAAAAATATATATACATTTTTCAGGTAGAATGGGATATGTCGGAAAAGGAGAACAATCCTGAGCAATTTGCGATGAAACTTTGTGCAGAATTGGGTCTCGGAGGGGAGTTTGTAACTGGAATAGCATACAGTGTTAGAGGCCAACTCAGTTGGCATCAACGCACTTATGCATTTAGTGAAGCTCCTTTGCCGATTGTTGAGGTAATTATTATTGTTTTTTAAAAAAAAGGAAAACAATTTGGCACCTGTCAAAATTAGTCTTAAAAAGATATAACTAAAAACCATTGAAAAGTTTCACTATCAATCTGGAACTGAAGATATCAGAGGTGCGAGAGCTAAGATTCGAACCAGCTTCACTCGGTTTCGTCACCACTAGGCTGTCACCGCTGCTTATTTATAATATTAGTATACTTAATATGATTCCACGACACAAATACACTATCTATTTTTAACTGTCAGACAACCCTACTTAACTCTCACCGCCCGTGTGGAGCAGTCGTCCTACCGGAGTAATGGGTGTGGGATGGGAGTGACAGGGATAGAGAGTGCACTTGTGTCTGCACTATAATATCTCCTGCGCAGTTGGCTAGTCTCAGTGAGATTGGCCGCCGTGGCCGAAATCGGTCAGGAGGATATTATAAAATGTATGTTATATATATATTAGTGTAGCAAAAGAATGTATTTTTTCTATTGTGAAAAAAAAAACTTAAAAAAACATGAAAAAATCACGTTTTTTTTCTGGAGCGTGTTTTTTTTCAAGAGTACAGAATTTAAAATCATTCAGGTAGTTTCCGCAAAAGATTGATACTTAAGAGTTCATATAAGATGAAGTTTTCTGTTTATTTTTAAACCTTACTTTTTTGATTCAATAAGTGCCAAGCTTACATGTGAAAATTCCGACACTGACAAATACAAGGCTAATGTAGGTGGCACTGAGACTGAAAGTGGTATTGGCATTGACACAGAGGATTTTTTTTTATGTACTCGATTCAATATATGTATTTAATTCGATTTGTAATTTTAGTAATATGTAAGAAATTAGAAAACATAACCATACACCCTTTAATTTACTAAAGATTTTTTTTCTGAAAAAAAACCAAAGTTAGAAAAAAATAACACTAAGTTTTTTTCATGTTACATCACTAATATATATACCCTTACGTTTTCATGCAGACACCATACCGTCAGCCATCAGAAGCAGAGCAATGGGCACCATACCTAGAAACCCTGACCAATGCGGAGATGGAGAAGAAGATAAGAGATCAGGACAGGAACACTCGCCGTATGAGACGATTGGCGAACACCACACCTGGTTGGTAGATTGTTGTATTTGTTTGTATATTATATTATTTTATTATTATTATTTTACACAATTAATATATAGTTGTCTCAATGCTTATTTGTCCAAACAAACAATTTATCGAAAGATTTTTTGATACAGAGTGATTGATTTTTAAATGTCGATTTTATTGGTATAAAATATATATTTTAATATAAAATTGCCGATGTGTTTCATCTATATATTATGTAAACAAATGTTAAAAATAAAGAAAAAGTTTTCTTTTTAATATAGAGGAAAAACAACGATTGAAAAAAAAACGTTTGAACATATAAGCACTAAGGCGACGATATGTGTATGTATTGGTGGTGTATAGATTCCTTACGAGTCGTACAATTTATTTATTACTAGTGACTTACCTTACCCTCGCTTCGCTTGGGTGCGTCCCTTGGTACGTTTTGATTTTTTGAGCGGAACCCTAAATCTTTTTCTAAAATAAAAGTAGCCTAAGTTACTCCATATAACATCAAAACTGAAACTCCCGTCAAAACCAGTCCAGCCGTTACGGAGATTAGATGTAACAAACAGACAGACAGATAAAAAATTTAAAATCGTGTTTTTCTTATAAGTGCCGTATACAATTTCATATGCGTTTAGTAAAATGCTATTATTTTGACATTACAAACAGACACTTCAATTTTATGTATCTGTATAGAAGACTGGAATAGCGGTCCATCCCCAGGTGCTTTTACTCTCAAAATATATTCTTACTGAAATAAAACATATACTTCTTTTGGATAATTTAGCTTTTCAATGACACTAAGGAAGCTTATCTTTACCAATAAATTCAAAAGTAAAATGCGCTAAGATATAATATTTAAAAAAAATTGAGAAAGAAAACAGTATAAGTCTAATTAGACAGAAAATCTATTATTAAAAAAAATTAGATTAGTAATATACTGATTTATATTTTGTCAGTCTGTACCAAATTGTTGTTAGGGTTGTGGGACTTAGTGATTTTTACTTTTGGGCACATACATATGTTATATGTATTATATTTTTTATATATTATGTTATATTTACTATTGAAAATATGAATTTTAATTTATTTAGAATATATTATTATTTACATGGTAATTTATGTTATAATCTGTATTATTGAAAATGTAATATTTTTTTCTTATTGACTGAAGACTCTTAAGACTTTTACTTAGTATTTTAAAATATAACCTTAATTTAATTTATTTAATTACGCTTCCTAAACTTAAAAGGTTTTTTTGTTATTAATAAACATAATATGCGAAAATGGTCGAAAATAAAAAAAAATAGAATTGCGATTTTATAAGACTTAACATTATTTATCTTAAAACATTTTTTTTCAATGGCTTCGAGTTGCGTTAACAGACGCAATACATTGTGCCAGTGATATAAATATTATATCTATATTTAATTATTATATGTTTCATAAAATGTTGTATTTGCTTATGAATTAATTCGAATAATTAGAATATATAAAAAAAAAAATCATATTTTCAACTATCTCGTAATAACTAATAAGTGTTATTAATATTGATAGCAAAATATAAAAGTTTATTATTTTACTGCAAAAATATTATTTTCTACCTATTATTTTATTTATTTAATATGTTTATAATATAATAAAATGTATACATAAATCTATACATATTATAAAATTGTAACTAAGTCGAATCTGTACATTAAATATTTTTTGGAAAATCTTATTGAAATAGACATTATTATCGATACAAAATCTGAATCTATAGTATTTAGAATTTTTGTCTATCTGTCTGTCTGTTACCGCATCACGAGAATACCACTGGACTGATTTTAATGAAATTTGGTATGATGATAGCTGGTTATCCGGGTCAACATAAAGGACTTTTTAGCGCGGGAAAATATCTCATTTCTGAAAAAAAATACAAAAACTGCTTTGTAAGAGTATACTAATATGTAAAACCTGAGAATTTGGTTCTTAATCATCAGAACGCGGGCGTAGCCGCGGGCAATGCTATTTATGTATATAACATAGTATATGCTATAGTTTAAATTTGTTTTGACAATTTTGCTGTCATTATTAGTATTATTTTATTTGTATTATTTATAATAAATAATAATAATTTATATATAATTTATTCATAGTATTACAAAAATATAGATAGAGCAAATTAACTTAATTACTTTATATAAGGAGACGGTTACATATATAATATGACTTTACCTGTTTTGATGAAGCTCAAACTTTTGTATACATTAAAAACGTGGCTGACAAAAAAAATGTGTGCATAAACACATTTAAAGTCCTTTTAGTTGTTTTAAAAAGCGACTTTTTAAAGAGTGAAAGAGATAGATATATTATCCCTTTTTTTTTATCTATTTTTTTTCTTTAACTCGTATACGATATATTTTTAAGACATATGAGTAGAGATGATGGATATTAAATTAATTTTTAAAGATTTTTTTCTAAGTTATTTAACTTTAGCTTAGTGTTATATTTTGTTTAGATTATCGTTTAGAAGTGAATTGTATTTATTATTTATCAATTATGTTTTCTTCCACCGATGTTCTATTGCTATTTTTGACCTATTTTTTACCAAATATCATCTCAAGTACGTGGTTATTGTAGGAATGATCTCTACATTTGTATACCGTATTTATTAATAACTAGCGATTCATCCTTGCTTCGTTTCGGGTTCGTCCCTAAACTAAAACAAATCTATCCTACGGGAACCCTACATTTTTCCGGAATAAAAAGTAACCTATGTGCTATTTTAGAATATAATCTATTTCTGTGCCAAATTTCAAGATCCGTTCAGCCCTCAAGGCGTTATTGAATAACAAACAAATATCCATCCATTCAAACTTCGCATTTATAATATTATGGGGTAATGGGATTATCATAGTTTAACATCACATTATAATTATTGCTTTTGATCAATTTGTACTTTTAAACAGTCGTATTTTAGTTTAATTATATTTAAAATGTTTCTCTACTTTTAACAAATTTAAAAAACAGGTGGAAATTTCTATATAATTAGGCATTTTTTTTATTTGAGTGCAACTTATACTACTCAAACCCTAAACATCGCAGTTTCTTTTTATTTGATTAGATAAATTTATTTTTGGTTAAAAATGCAATATTTCCGAGAAAGACATGAAATAAATTTATAAATGTATGAAAGAGTAGATTACTTAGGGTGAAAAATTGGATTTTATGACCTTTCCACCCCTTTAAGGGATGATTTCCGGAATGAAAAATATCCTATGCCCTTCCAAGGGTCTTAAACTATCTTTATACCAAATTTCATCTAAATCGATTCAGCAGATTTTTAGTTTATCCACGACGAACATACAAAAATCATTGTTTTTTCTTTATAATAAGAGTATAGATATCATATCGAGGATATAAAAGGGAAAGGAGAAGATGATTCCTATGTAGATCTCTTCTTATAATAGCCATGGGATATTAGACAATTTCAAAGATTTTTTTTATTATTATATAGAGGTAATTAATTTATTAATTAATATTTATGGGTAGTCATATTTTTTTGTGTATAATTTAAGGTACGTATGTGTAGGGGCTAGCGAAATTAGTGTTCATAGCGTTGTTAAGGGTTGATATGTGCTCGATCAATTTTTTTTTAATTTTTATTAATGGTTGAAAAGTTGACTTTTACGTAAGTAGAATGTTACATAATAATCAAATTTAATAACACAATAAAATATCGAAATAATATAGGTAAATATTGTCGTGAGCAAAAGTTTAAAAAAAAATATAATACCTATTATTATGATGATTTCGGGACTTGTTTAAAATTTCTATAGAAAAATTAATCTGGTGCATGTCTACTAATTACTGAAATACAAAGAAAAATGTTACTAATCGAATAATTGTTTATATGAAAATCGATATTGTTCTCGATTAAGGATTTCAAGTGATCAATATCGATATTGATCGAGCATATTATTTAGTTTTATATTACCAACTGCATGGATATATTTATATTTACATCTTTATATCGAAGATTTATACGATATAATGCCTTTCGTAAGTACAATATAGATTATATTAATTAATATGATTCTGCATTAAAGGGGGATATCATCACTTTGCTTTCTATACTGTATAACTCCGGTTCCCAATAACCTATCTAGTTGTAGTTTTCCTTACTGAAGATAGGAATTTGACATAATTTGTATGGAGCTTAATGCTTATGTCAAATTTCTATTTCTAGTAAGAAAAAGTACAGATAGGTTATTGGGATGTAAGTCAATCATGTCGCCTCTAATATTGACTCAAGTTTTAAAATGTACCATCTCACAAAATAATAAATGTTAAAATTAAAAATTGTTTGATAATACTTAAGTTTATTTTTTAATCAGTTTTTAATGGTTGCTTATATTTATTTTCATATTTGACGACGCGTTTGGCTCAGTTTGTAATGACCCTACTTGCCGTGTCAGCGGTCGCGGGTTCGAGTCCCGTTGGGGGAATTCATTTGCGTGATGAAAACGAATGTTTGTACTCCAGTCATGGGTGTTTATATTTATAATATGTATGTATTTAAAGTTACATATGTGTAGTGTATCAACTATATGATATCCATAACACAAGCCTCGTAGCTTTCCTTGGTACTAGATGGTGTTGTGTGTTAATGTCCCGACATATTTATTTATTCATATTTATTTATCAAAATACGGTATTGTTAGATAAGTGATGATATCCTATGTTATAAAATAGCCCGTATTCGGGCTTCTTTTCATGCAGAATTACATCGAAATGTATTAAAGTAAGTGGAATGTTGAAATTTTTTCACATTAAATGGCATTTTTCAAAATTATTTGTTTCATTTCTTCGAATTAACTATCATTTTCATTGGGTGATTAAGTTGATACAATCTGCTTACCATCTCATTTTTGAATATGGCAACACTAGAGCATGTAAATATTAGTATTTATATAATTATATGTATTACATTTTAAATTAAATAAATTAATGTCATGGTAAATTAAACAATTAAATATGTCTATAAAATGTAAGTAGCCTGTAAGAATTCTTATTGTCAACGATCTACTCTTAAGTTTTAGCATAGACTATTTTAGTTCAATTGTAGAAATTGTTATTTTTTTTTATATTTTTGTATAACCTATGCATTATAAGTGTTGCTATATACAAAGAACAAAAAACAAAGTTTCATTTAAATTTGTTTGGTGGCAGATGTATCCTTGAGCCGCGCCGTCAACCGTCTCATCCGCGCGGACGAAGCACTCTTCCAAACCACGCCGGAAAAGAGAAGGAAAAAGATTTAATCACTGATTTTAAAAAAATTAAATCAATGTATAACCTTTTTCGTTTACATTTAATTTTTTTTTACAAATATTTTACCATATTTTCACACTTTCATTTGAAGTTAAGAGAAGCATTAGTTTTAAGTAAAAAAAAATGAAATAGTTTTTCTTACATGGGCTCTAAAATTTGACCAAGATTTTGAGATGTTTTCTTTTTGACAACATACCCGTAGGTCGTATCAATTAGTGAGGCGGTTACATGTTTTAGCCCATTTCTTAAACACGTAAGTAAACCGATTTTGATGAAATCTTTACTATTATCTAAGTAGAAATAAATATAAGCACATAAAAAATGATCCTATTACTAGTTTCGTAGCAATGCGTTTACAAACAAACATCCATACATCCAGACATCCATACTTCCTCACAAACTTTCGCATTTATAATATTAGTATAGAAGTATAGATTATAAATTTGACGCCACTTTGAATGGCGTGTCCTAACTTAGAAATATTTCCAACTAATGAAAGGTGAAGACTCCCAACTATTATAATAATAATAAACAATGTATGTATTGTATGTATTGTCCTTTTTAACGTCCCACTGCTGGGCACGGGCCTCCCTTCAATACGAGGGGGATCAAGCCGCTCTTCTACCGCGCTGGCCAAGTGCGGGCGGACTGAGTATGTTTTTCGAAAACTTGCTAGCTTCTCTCAGACATGAAGCCTTCCTCACGATGTTTTCCTTCACCCTAAGACAAGTGGTAATTTTTTGGAAATGATTCGTACCTATAGTAGGGGAGCCCAAGAGGGGATTTTCTGTAGTTACTCGAGCGCGGCAGATTAATATACAGGGGGATACCTTGTACCCGGTTAAGTACCTCCACAAAACATGAGGCCCATATATAAGGCCGCCCGTGAAGGATACAGGATCAGATTAGTAAAAAAAAATTGACCACCAGAAATTCTCGAGCGCGTCAGATTAAGGTAGGGTGAGTTAATTACATCCTAAAAAGTGTATATTCCACTAATCTGACAATTTGAGAGTGACATAAAAAAAGGGGAGGGCAACAAAGTTGTAAAAAAAAAAGTCATCTCGACATTCTCGAGCGTAGCTAAATTTTTTTTTATTTTGAAGGAAATAATGCAAGAATAATGAAAAATATATAATCTGACGATTTCCGCAAGCCGAAATAACAAAAATTCGTCGATAAAGTTAAATGCGTGCAGCTGCGTGATGCCTACATTTCCTTCTCCGCGTTTCTATTCCTCTCTCACTCTTTCTCTATCTATTACTCTCTCACTCCGTCCCCACTCTGGTTTCTGCCGCCATGACACCATCACAGCTGATCATAAAGAGTCTAGGGGTGTGCGAACATCGTTCGAATCGAATCGTATATCAATATTCGATTCGAAATTCGAATAATTTCGAATAATTCGTAAAAATTTCGAATAATTCGAAAGTTTTCGAATAATTCGCGAATTAATGAAATATCTCTGGATCTTCAATTCGAGAGATATCGTGAACGAAAGAAAACCGAAAAAAGTGTTTTTTCGGGGTTACTCCGAAATTTTTGGTTCGATCAATTAAAACCTGAAAATAACTTATGAGGATAATAAAACTGCGTCGAATGCCGTCAACCGCGTGAAAATTGCTTGATCTATTCAAAAGTTATTGCGGTTTGAAAATTCCAAAAATAGTGTTCTATGAAACCTCTATCAGACTTTCGAGCTGGGAGAGCTCAAATGCATAGAAATATTATTTCTTTGAACTCTGCGAGCTCAAAATATCACATAAATTATATTTTGAGCTCAAAAATGCCATAAGTACAATTTTAAGCGCACAGGAATGGAATTAGCGGGAAGTTGCAGGTATGGCCTTTAAGGTGAACCGTTTTTCTAATTTTTTTTTGTCAGATCAGGCGAATCCCTCTAGATAATCGTCAGATTATGAGACAGTACGTTTATAACATAAAGATGAACCATATATATCTTAATCTGACGCGCTTGAGTATTTCAAAATGGCGATTTTTTTTTGCACATTATGAAAATGGCCGCGAGTTTGCGTCCCATCGAAATCGTCAGATTAGTGAATGAGAGCTTTTTTTTGGTGCAATTAACACTCTCTTAGAAAATCTGACGCGCTCGATTAATTTTTTTTTTTTTCATTTTCAACCCTTAAATACAACCACCCGCATCATGCAAACGATCAGATTAACATACGTACATTATTAAAAATACGTAGGGCATTTATGCTATCTATATCTGACGCGCTCGAGGATGTCTATGCAACAGTTTTTTTTTACATATTTAAAAATCTATAGCCGCTTCCCCCACCGATGTAAAGGTATATATCATATAACATTTTTTTCTTCTTATCATCTAAGCTTTGCATCCCAATAGGTCTCTACGACGCTCGAGTAAATCCCCATTTAGCTTCGTGGGCTCCCCTACCACTACATGAAAATGTCAGATATACTAGACCCGGGATTTGAACCCGCTTCACTCGGTTTCCCAAGCGAGCGCACCACCACTGGGCAATATGAAAATAAATTTATAGTTTTATTGTTTTGAAACTTTTAACAAAAAAAAAATACGAGTGTGGGTTAGATTACTTTTGTATTAGACGCTAAGGAGAAATAATACTCCGCATTCCGCTCAGGACAATCTTCACTACTCTGTTAGATGTAAGTCGTTCATTTAATTAATTTGCTATTATAATATTTTATAAATACATTCATAAGTCATATAATCATACAAACTTACACAAAAATATCCACCCATACATATTATACTGCTTTAAAGACCGTATTAAATATTGATATTTTTGAGTAAAACATGATCTGAATGATTATTTGGATATATTATATTCTGAAATTTGGAATATTTTGGAGGTTAAAATGGTAATTGATGATGGAAAGTTGATATTGCTCACTGGTATACTCTACGTAGAAGGTAGTGGGTTCGAGTCCCGTAGGGGCAGCGATGTAAAGGTATTTTGAGCTTTATCATTTTAGACCGTTTGGAGTTGCTACAAGAAATCAAACGATTAGATGTTTAATTCATTTATTGATTTAGGGACTGATTTGAATTCGGATCAGAAGAACACCGCGATTGCACCTTATAATTGTGAAAATTTGTTAGCTTTCGTGCTTAGTACACTGTAGTATGGATATCCGTTTTTTTTATAGATTAATAAGAAATATGTAGCTTTCCAATAAATATATGTACGTAAATGATTGTTTTATTTTCTGTTTGCAAAATTCTTTATATTTCTGACTCACTCACCTCTCTCTCACTCACCCTCTCTTCGCTCGGGTTCGCTTACGTTTTCACGTTTAGTATAGTTTTCTCAGGGATGAGATATTCCCGAGATATTCCCGCAGTAAAAAATATCCTATATGTTGACCCGGGTAACCAGCTATCATCATACCAAATTTCATCAAAATCCCCTCCACTGGTTGGACAGACAGACAGAAAGACAGACAGATAAAAATTCTAAAAACTATACATTCGGCCTCTGTATCGATAATAATGTCTATTTCAATAAGAATTTCAAAAATAATATTTAATGTACAGATTCGGCTTAGTTACAATTTTTATTTATTTATTTATGTACCAGAAAAAAAACATACAAGTTAAAACAGATACCATGTGTACAAAGGATGACATCTCTTTAAGAGATCTCTACCAGAATTTTATTATATGTATAGATTTGACTTCAAAAATGATGAATTATACAATTTTTCGTGTAAAATTTATTAAAATATGTACAACTAGTAAGTTACTTTTACGTGCTTAATTGTAGTATGTAGCCTATGTGTCATTCCAGGACAAGACAAAAATTCTAAAAACTGGATTCGGTCTCTGTATCGAGAATAATGACTATTTCAATAAGATTTTCCATAAAATATTTAATGCACGTAAGAAGTTATACTTTTTACTTACGTTGGCGTAACAGAACAAAAATAGCTAAAGATGTCATCCCTTATGTCACAACTTAATCATGTCGTTTGCAGCTCACTTCATCATGTCGCGTTCAGCTAACTTCATCATATTGTCATAATTTCATAATATATTGTCATATTTTTTCCAAACGTGCCCAAAGAAGTACAATTTAAAAAAAACTTAAGTCTTTCCTGCATTACGTGAAAACTCACCCCCTCTCACTTCCCGATCTCAGATCGCCCGTAAATTATTTTTCCTTTCATTTTTGTTATATTCTCTTTCTTTTCCAATGGGTTTCATCGTACTATTGTAATTTTTTTTGGTTTTTAAAAATTATCGACCCTGGTCTAATATAGAAAATAAATTTAGTAAAACCAAATCTGCTTTCTTTACGCCCCCATGCTGTACGGGAGTATTCTTTAGGTTAAAGGATAAGTATGTACCAACTATTTATTGGAAAAGGATATTATTAAAAATTTTTAAATAAGTAACTTAGATGTTAATCAAAAAATATATGTACTGTACACTAGATTTCAAATCGTGAAGATCCAGTGAGAACGCGATTATTATAAATCGGTATAGAACCAATAATTTCCTAATTTTTCAAAATCATTGATTTTCATAGCATAAAGTAAAAAAATTTTTGCTCTTACACTCCAAATTTTGCCGCCCCTAAAAATTTGCCGCCCTGGGCACTAGCCCCGGGTGCACCTAGTGTAAATCCAAGGCTGCGTGCATGTCTTAATGTCGAAAATAAAATCATTGAATAATTACCTACTAATTTACAAACATACAATAGAACATAATTGGTTTAATTAATCTCTAGACTGAATCTTTAATTAGTTATTAATTATTATATTAATACAAATATAAGAATATTAATAAATTACATCTTATGTTACACATAATCAATGAGTTTATATAATATGATCATTGCACATAATTATGCACATTAAACCTACTTGACGTAGAACCAAGCGCTACGAACGGCGTAGAACCAAATTTTCTATATACTGCACGTCTGACATTTGGTTGCGGTTTAAAAAGTTTTGGAAATTGCTATGCACTTTA